ATGAATACTTATATTAAAACTAGGATCGAAAATTTTCTTTTTTCAGCCTGTAGTATCTAGTCAGTTTTAAATATGATATAACTATATAAAGTTGACAGATTTTTCATCAAAAATGCGTAATGGATAACTATAAGAAATTATTTGCTAGCATAGATTTTATTAAAATTCTTTACAAATGTCAACTTCGTAGCATTTTTGTAGTAATTATTTACTGATTAGTGTTGATATAAAATAAAAAGTGAATATTTAGTATCGTGAAATTTAAGTTCGAGGTAAAGCGTAAAAAATGGATGCCATATAACGAACGATCAGAGGTGTTTTAATGCTATAGCTACTCTATATGATCATCGCAAATATAATCTATCTAGTAGTAAAATGCATTAATTTTGTCAAAATGGATTTTTCTTATAGTCTCGCAATTGTTATACGAATATTGCTCTGAATAAGTCTTATCTACTGTTAGTTAAATAAAATTTGATTAAGTGGTAAAAAGTATTGTACAATAAATATAAATCATCGTAAATAATGATATATTTTTATCGTAATGTTTTAAGTGTATTCACAGTCAAAGATATTTAGGTATTTTTAGAGTTATTTACTTTATGTTGAATACCTAGATGGTCTAGACGGCTGTGTGGTATTGTTAAACTTCCTATCGGATCTGTTAAAGTGTTAATGGTCCTTCCGTAAATAACACCAACGCCTCTATTGTCACATTTCTATATAGCAATCATATAAATTGACCGATATTTAGCGAGTTTACGTCATAGAATTCTTTAAGTTATAGCGTATATAATAATATTTAATAATTTTACATATTTACAGATTGTGGTATTAGGGAATTTGAAATAAATTTTATCGCTACAAATAGATTTAGCACAAAGTTTCAACGTTTTACCATATGGTGGTCTAAAGAGGCATTTTAGTTAGATGATTTTGAAAGAAGCTTCATATACTGTATCCAATGCTGCTTTCATAGAATACCGCGTGCGTAAAAATTTGTAGGTAAAATTAATTTCCTCTAACATTAATCATGATCAATAAATCACGAAGTTTTATGATATGCATTTTTCGGCTAAGTTCAGTATAATTGTCTAATCATTTCAAATGCCTAAATTTTACGTATCATTAATTTTTTTCATGAATAATAATATGAGCAAAATAAATTAGAATTGTAAAATCTAGAATGCCTCCCTTGTGATGATATTTTTAAGCTACTATTATTACGAAAAATTTAAAGAATAGTATTTTACAGACATGATTTTGATGAAAATCTTTCTTCTAATCGATTTAATTGTAAGTAGTTTCATTAAATATTCTAATGATTATCAACATTTTATTAATACTTTATTGATCTCTCTAGACTGATATCGAGGAAAGCCGAATTTTCTTTAGGAATATACAATATTGCTTAAGTGGATGCGAGCTATGGATGAAATTGAAAATATAACAAATAACAAGAATCACTCAAATTATAGTCTTAACGGTGTCAATTTAAGTCATTTTGGCAATGTGTCTAATATATATTCATCTAATTCTTACATAACACTTTTCTTTTTATTACTTTTAATTGCAGTACATATTGCAATTATTCAAGCAGTCTACGGTAGAAAGGTGTTAAGTCAACCACACTATCGTCTAATGGTAAATATTTCATTTAGTAATATTATGCTAGCGTTAAGTATAGTCATTTCTACACTAATTGCTTTAATTGGGCCTCGAGCAAATGTAAACCTGTTCATCTACGGGTTTTTATGCAAAATATTTGTTATCTTTCCTACGTATTGGTCTTACGTAGCTTTTATGCTTACGTTGGTTTTAGCCAGTATTGAACATTGTAAAGTTATCCTTAGATCGAATCATTCATTAACCATACATAGAATTCAGAATTACTCTATATTAGTATGGTTGCTTGGTCTGGTTGTCAGCTTTCCTTTTGCAATTACAGCAGGTAGTATTCAATCCGCCTGCGTATCTTTCAACAAATTAACATATTTCTTAACAATATATTATATACTTTTCATCTCTATCTTTTATTTTGTTCCAACTTTATTTATACTAGCAATGTATGTTCTAATATTTTTCCAACATTTTCGACATTCAAATATTGTAACGAGGCTGAATGATACTATATGTGATCGCCATTTAATTACTAGAACTGTCATCATGTGGGTGACTATTTCCGTAATATTTATAATTTTAACATTACCATGGATATTTACTGTATTGCTTACTATTACTATCGGGCAAAATTCTGTGGAGATACTGAAAAATCAAAATACCAACGCATATGTGCAATTTATAATACCGTTTGGAAGAATCCTATTACCTGCTACTGCATTTTTCAGCCCAGCAATATATTGTATTTTTAACCCTCACTTTCGCAATCTGTTCTTGTCATGTTTTCATTATCATCATTCTTCAAGGCAAAGAAGTTTACAACCATCCAGTTTAACAGCCACTTACACGAATCGAAATCAATCAACCAACGATAGGATTTCTAGCCTACCATAGATTTAGATTTAGTTAGTTAAAGATAACATATCGAAATGAAACTTCAAGTGATGGCAAGGCATCGTTTAGTAATATCTGGTGCAATGAACAAACTAAGTTAGTAGCTTAGGCATTCATGATGGTAACACTTCTGTTTACCTTTAAAAGTAAATCCGGCACTTACATGCTCTACTTAGTGGCAGAAATTGATCATAAGATAAAATTCTACTATTCTAAGCTGGCGTTATAACATCATATTATGAAATTATAGTGTAATAGCCCTAATCTGTTACACATGCGTGATGGCTGATCTATATAGCTTGATTCACTAATCTTGATTTACTCACTAATGTATACTATACTTATAACATTAACTCTTCTTAATGTTGTATATTCTCCAACATTATATTTACTGTGTAATCATTCCATTAATTTAGTATATATGTCACAGTGATTTTTCGATTTAGCTATTCTATTATTCTTTAATATTTAAGTTTAGAGGACATAATCATGTTGATATTATAGTGATAATAATTTATTATAATAAATAATTGGATAGAATTAATTTTAATTATGCCTACCTTACGTGGCCGAAGGTGTTGTGGTATATATTAATGGCGAAATTTGGAATTCTTCTCTTATTCAGTTGTCATATTCGTGATGATTTCGGTCTTCTGGCTATATCATAAAGTTATCTATGTTAATAGAAAATTAGAATTATTAAGTTATTAAGCTGTTAGAGAAGTAATATTATTCTAAAATTAGTAACTTTAACACCTTAAATTAATCTGGTGGGTAAATTAAACTTAAATAAAGACTTTGTATTTTATCGTCAAATGAGTACCTGCGAGGAGTAATTTGTTTTACATAATTCTCATTATACTTAGGAATTTTAAAGGATAGCGAGTGATATACATTTCAATAATTAAGCAATGATTATTAACGTAATATATATACTAAACCTTCCTATTATCTGATCTAGTTCTGAGGTAACAGTATTTGGGATATATCTATCTCTATTTATACTGTATAGGATATATAGTAATCACTACTATACACTCAGCAACTGGTCGCTCTACTTCGCATAGAGTATAACCTCGTATTTGATCTTAGTTTGTTATGTGAAGTAAATTTAACCTCATAATTACAATTTTCCATTATTAAATGTCTCTTGCTATCGCTATTACTTTATTACGGTAATATTTTTGACGCCAATCCTTATAGTCTGATCTAGATTTATGATTAGTTTAACATGTCTCTATTTAGATATGCCGAATATAGTAGAATAGCTACATTATGATCAGTTTAACATGTCTCTATTTGGATATGCCAAATATAGTAGAATAGCTACATTCTATTTATATCTTTATATATTATTAATTATCTGCATAGTGCAGGTATAGTACAGTGTATCTAATTGGTTTAAATGATAGTTCGTTGCTTATTGTTACTGCCATTTTGACTCTAATGTAGGAATTAATGCTATTAGTGAGTCAAATTATTGCGGAGTCTAGTTCTGATACTAATTTACTGTATCTCACATTATATACTGTGGTAATATCGATTTGGTTACCATATTATGATCTCAGATGACTATTTACTGTATGTTATTGCTGTTACTTTAAAACAGCACCAATACTAAATGTCTTTATATACGATCTAATTCTGGTGCAATGCCACTACGTATGTATCTTTAAAGTATGGCATAGTTATATCGCATTCGATTATTTTGCTATTTTGGATGATTATTCATCCCATAATCATCGTTGCCGCTATTTTGTGATTTTCTATTACAATATTGCTGCAGTAAACTAGAAGTGTTGTTATCCAAAAGGCACTACATTTCGCAGTTTTAATAAGCAATATGCGCGATTTAGGCGTATAACAAAGTTTTACCTTTCATCTGTTACGATGAAGATGTAAGAGTTTGTTTTACTCAACATTAAAATTCATGTCATTGAAATTAAGTACTTGAATAGTTTTAGTCAGTTTTTATATATCAAGCGATATACACATATTAAGTTCTGCTCGAATTACCATGAAAATCATTTATGCGAAGCAAGTCTAAAAGAATGATGATGTACGATCGAATTGCTATTAACAAAACATATCTTTTAAAGTTTATTAATTATTCGCTATAATAGTACATGAAGAGGCAGATTGACTTTATACATCAATACGTATACTTGTAAATATATTATCTTAAATGATATGATCGATCTATCAACACCAGTTTTCTATGAAATTGGTAAACTTTCTTTTAATTTTGCTTTCATACTGTTTAGTAAATTTTCGACCTTTATTCGATAAACACTGTGACTGGATTTCAAGGTCCTAAGGTCTAAAACTAACTAGATCATTCCTCTCGTAACTGTATTCTTAAACAAAAACTGTAATTTTAATTCGTGAATTCGTAGCCTCTACAGGATAATTAATAACTGATAATTTTATAACATCGTAGATTATGTTCTTAAAAATCCTTTATCTCGTATTAATGCCATAATTAATTACGAGTTGATGATATTACCATTAACTAGGTGTGACCATCTATTGTGAACAATTAAGAAATACTTATCCATAGCAGCACAAAATCGAGCTCGATACTCCGCAGGTGATAAAACTGTTGGCTTTTCACCTTGACCGCCTAATATTCCACTTGATTTAACCGCAAATTCGATTTTTTTATCCCACGTGTATGTTCTCAAATAATCTATAATGTACATTAATATAAGCATGCTCATGGAAGTTCAATTATAAAGTCATTTAATATATCTTATCTCATAAAATAACTTTAAAACTACCTATTATGCCCACAACGATTTGTGAATTCGTCTTGTCAATTCCAACTAATAAAGAATAATCCATTATATATGATCTTTCCAATAAGGCCGTATCATTAACCACTGCCTGTAGTAGCACATTTTTATCATGGTCTCTCATATAAAGCGGCGATTTATCGGTATCTAAGTTAAAATTATAAAAGTTAACATTAAAATGAGAAGTTAAGTACTACATACAATACATGTATTGGGAATTTAACAGTACAGTATTACATTCGATAAAATTTTTATCAAGCAGAACAACAGTTTCTTTTCGATCGGTCGATACGTAGCGACTTCTCATAGAGCCTTTCAAGTCAAATATCTATTATTCAATTAAAAAACACACTAAAGACATATTTCACTCCCTTCATGGACTAGAATAATAAGTAATAATATTTATGTCTCACTTTAGAGCAAAATCTTAAAACATATGTAGACTAACTTGTGATAAATTACGGCGGTAAAATAAATTCTCCATTACACAAATGTCCAATTTGACTTGCTCATTGGTCAAAAAATTCTTAAATTCGATAGTATACACGCCAATTATTTTTGCAATGACAGATGGAGTCTAAGATACAAGTATTTCAGTTGTAATATTTAGGTTACAAAATCACTAGAGCAAAAACGACTTCATGAGTTATACTTTATTCTTGCAAGCTTTCGATATGTAGTTAAAATAATCCGGACCAAACTCTAGGAAGGATTTCATTTCACGCCGTTTAATTTCTTTAAGTACGAAACGATCATCTATAAATTTAGCAATGATGCGCAGTGTATTAATAAGACGTTAAAGTATTACCGAGTAGCGACACTTCTAGTGAAATACTTACCATAGGTCTTACAAAATAGTGACCTAGATTTACCGCCACTAGCCGACCAAAAGAAACAATGAGATAGCGAACGAATATACCTAAATTCAAGTTGACAATCTTAGCAAAAACGGGTTTCGAATACTGGGCTGTCAATTCATGGGTATGCGACATTTATTAAATTATTTAATTTAAATTTAAAGATCGAACGATGTTCTAATATCCGCTACTTTCACGGAACTAAATCATTGCAACTTCAAATCTTACTTTTCCTCTCCTCCAGGAAGTACCATTTTTCGTAGTTGTCGAAAGTGTTCAGCAAAATAGACTGCACATGAAAATCGTAATCTAGGACTGGAAAATTCTAAAATGATAGCGTATATAATATTTAAGTATTGCTTTCGATGCTATAATGCATATGTAAATGGCAAACGAGTTGAGGACTATAATAGAAGAGTTACTTACGTAGTTTAATATGCCGCACGCTGCTGTTTTGGTGTTTCCACTGATTTCCAGAGTCAGTAGTGTCTTCTATAAAATAAATTGGGATTATCATTCAATTGGAAGCTTACATCAAGCTTAATAAAAAATTTTAGCAGTGGATTTAATTAATTAGTAACTCCACCAATTTTGCCCAAATTATATCGTTAAATTAGTTAAATTTTTGCAATCAGATTACGTTCTGTCCCTTGTGATCGATCGTCATTCCGATTATCGCTAGCATAGCGATCATCAGCCGCTCTTTCTTTACTCTGTGGCTTTATACTGAAAGTAAAATAGAATTTCTTTATTGCGAACGTACCAAATGTATAGAACCATCCATTTAATTTTAATTTACCTTTTAAATTCATTGCTATTATTCTTTTCTATATTTAATTTATTTCCCTTAGCAGAATAATGTGCTATAGCATTGTTGTATGTTGGTGAACTACTATTTTTTGAAATGTTGACATATTCGCTAGGGCTTGCGTCGTCATCGAAACTGTCCAATGATTGACCTGTTGAAAGTAAACAATATTTATCTCTTAAGTATTCCAACGGATAAGTAAATTAATCACTTCGGTGATAACATGTTGAGATATACCATCAGCCTCTACAACTTGGACGTAGTCTTTAATACATTCTTCAATAGATTCTTGAGGTTTATAACTATTAATGAATATTAATAAATTATACTAGCAGTAGATCATTAATTATAATTATCATTAGATATAACAAAATACGTACTACATGCAAATAAATGAAATCAAGTAATGTTACAGGAACTATTAACATTATGTATTGATAATGATACCTTGAAACAACTTCATTTTCACTATTCTGCCTCATAATATCAAGTAACTCAACCATCTTACGACGGTAGTCTTCAGAGCTGAATAATACAAGCCTGCTATTTTCATTCTGATCACATTAACTTTATAAAATAAAGTCGTAAATTCACATACTGCTTACATTTACCTCAATGTATAGGCAATGAAAGTGCTAGGTTCGTTGTCATATATTACCAGGGATATTATTTCATCAGTTGATGACAAAAAGTGTTGATGAACGGTACTTAGCATATCAACCAAAAAATAGCAGTGTAATAAAATTATATTATTATTGATAATATCAGGTTTAGCATATAACAAAAACATGAAAGCATTTGTAGTTTTTTACACAGGAGGATTCAAATGCATTTGCAATCTAATAGCATTTGCCGAAATTCCTTTCTTTATTTCGACGGATTGATTGACATCTAACGATTGAGTTTGTTTTTCATCCAATTCGTCATCTGTAAAGAGTAATAAAATGATTGATTACATGAGTAAACAAATACAGTACATTTGTATGTAAAAACTTTTACAAATCCTAAGAATATTATAGAATAAGATAATTTGATCAGATATGTAGTAAATGATTTTACATAAGACTATATATTGTATGATACTGACATAAAAGTTACGATAAACATACAATTGTCCTTCCGTGATGATTGCACAGAACTCTCCAGTTGCTGGCTCGTAAATGGTATAGAGTTGTCACTGCTATCCTTATCGAAATCAAACTCAATTTCTGGCCTGAAGTCTACGCAGTCTTCTGTAAAGGGACTAGTCTCTTGATTTTCGTTTACATCAATAGATTGTGAAGGATTACAACATATACATTCTATGCTACACGAATGCACGATGTCATTCAAATCACCGTTAGAAGCAATTTTAAAATTTGAACATTTATCATTAGATTCTAGCTTTGTTATATCTGGCAGTGATAAGCTTCTATTCAGGTTGATTGATAGTTTACTTGGACCGCTTTTTACCATATAGGGGGTTTCATTAGTCATAAATGATTTTTCGGATTGAACATGATCGCGAAAGTCGGCTGCAGATTTTACTGTTGATAATGTGTTGACTCTAGATCTAAAATCCTTATCTGTATTCTAACAAAGTAAAGGAAATTAATTAGCAGCTAGCAATCTTTATAATAAGAATAATGGAAACCTTACCGAGTAATTCGATAGCTGAGAAATCTTAACACTCGATCTTATATTTTCGTTCTTCCTTTTTATCGTTTTATTATTTGGTAGTTTCTCTAATCCATTAATGAGTTCTTCAAATCTGTATCAGTCGCAATTTTTTTATTTGTGACCAAATTCTGTTTTACAAAGTATTTCATAGCTTAGGTTAACTTGTTATTGTAGCTATATGTAAGTACTACCTTTCCTTCCATAATTGATAAGTAACGTTAAGGTTCTGCTGTAGATCAACTACAAGATCTTGGGCTGCGTAACAGAATTCTGGCGACCATGTATTGGTTTTTGCTTTGTATGAATCCTTGCACAATTCAAATGCAATCTCTAGTTCTTTAACTCTATTTTTGAATTTATCACGATTGATCTAGTTCAATTATATCAAAACATCATTATCAGATGCAGATTACAAATGGTATTGGTATCGCAGATAAGTAATATATTAACGAATAGCTTTACAACTTCTTACTTTTAAATCTTCTATAGATTTATGTATTTGCTTGTTCATAACCTTCATAAAGATGGTTAGCTTGTCATAAATTGAAGCAAAAAATTTTTTACCGCTGTTTCAAAAATTGAAATAGAATGTAATTAGTGTCATGTTTATAAGACCACTGAGGGGTAATAATGATTCATTTGTATTAGGATGGTCTTCAAGTAAAATCAAGCCACTATTTACCGAGAGACGGTGGCTGCAATCTCTACTTCAAGCCGGTATATGCTCTCGGATCCAATTACGATTTCAATCATCATGGCAGGAGGACATAGCTGCATTACGTCGATCTCTGTAAATCTTAAAACGAACAGGAGAACTTCTGTTACACTTTCATATAATAAAATCGAAGAATATAGTATTTTTTTAAAGTACTCGAAGAAAGCAACTATGTTCCCAAGTCGGAAGTAATGGTAATGATCTCTAAATAGCAGATGAGAGCAGGCACTGGTGAAACCAACATGCTTTTTTATATTTGCATAGAAAAAAAATTCTAAAAATTTCCCAAACGAAATTGCCCAAGAGTCTGGTGACAATGGTATAACTGGCGTAACCTTTGAAAACATGTAAGCGTAAAAAATACAACGTATATAAACGTATCTAAGGATTAATAAGGTAAATCATAATTTATTAGACTTCATTGCATCTTAACCTTTTTACAAATTTTACAGAAATTCCACGATGTTATAAAATCTTCTAACTCATCGCCAGAAGTTTCTTCCTCTGGTATATTCTGGATGAAGATACTGACAGTGCCATTATTATGTGTATATTGTTCAACGTGATCCTTAGCTGATAATTCGCAGTTATCTATGAAACACCTCTGATTACTACAAAATAAAACAATAGCGGTTGATTTCATTTTCCATTTCATGTAAACATTTTGCAAGTTATATGTTAATTATTTTAGTCATTTGTATAAATTTTTATTGATTCAAGGCTCGTACAAAGCACAGCTCATTGCTTACCTGAAACAGTGTATTTGAAGAAACAATCCTAAGGGTATGTCGTTCCCGCTATAAAAATCGATACACTTTATGCTAGTTATTGTATAAAGTTTGATTAGAAATTAGTTTAAACAAATATAATTCGGATACCAAAGATTATATAATCCTAAGATATTCATTTTTACACTTACTAGTGGCTAACACACTTGCTTGTACCACTGCTTATTTTTGATGTACGGGAGTAAAGTACAGTTATTTGTTGATGACGATAAATATCAAGGCAATCAATCTACGTGTAATAACGTCAGGATGCATTTCATCATTTTAAGATTGCAGCATTAAATTAGATGCAGAATTTATAAGATCCTTTATAAGACAGTTATATATAATAAAGTACCTTTTGCTGACCAAATGACACACATTCCGAATCAGATTTATTACGGCCGTCTTGCGTTGCAGGAGACCATACACTATATATCCTTCCACCATAAGAGCGGAAACATACCAGGCTTTTCTGCAATGATGATTCATTGCTATGCAAGATGGAAGCATCTGTTATGAACTCGTGACGGGGAAGTAAGACGGTTCCGGAAGGTTTAAAGGAATGGTGTTCATTATTTGCATGGGTTTCCCTATAGGCAAATTTTATTAAGTAATCGGGATCCATTTTATCCTCTTCTTGCTTTTCTTCAGGAAATCGACAATCTCGATAGAAGTATTTCGATAAGTAAATATTGGGAATTAAATAATTACGGACTGGAGAATTGTTTCCGGTATGAGTTAAAATATATGGAATATGAAATGTTTTAAACATAGACACTGAAGTTATAACGTTATTAAAAGCGTAGACAACTTTGTCGTTCAGCAATAGGTCATTAGTAATTGAGTCGTCTGCAATAGATGATTCATTTTCATTTTCTAACACAGCTTTCGTTTCGTCGTTCGACTTCTTCTCAATATCGTCCGTTGATTTAGAAGGATTATTAGTAGTAACTTCCCATAATGATGAAGATTTACAATCCACGGAATAATCTATTAATAAGCTACTTTCCAACTTAAGATGATGATAAGCATATATCATGAAGCGTAATACACGTTTTACCTAATAAAGGACATTTAAATTTAAAATTTGATATCAGCTAATTGCTTACTGTAATTGCAATAGTATAGTATCGTAATATTTGTGTGCTGTATTACCGTACTCTATTAATTCACGCAATATACATTATATCACATTTCTATATGCAATAACCTTTGCTAATTCAGTATTAGTATCGCCGCGGAGTATAACGGAGCAACCGAATTCTGGATTACATCCCTCAAACTGGGTGATTGTTTTTACGCCACCTATCATTGATAACGTGTACAAATTCTCAGCTATGTTTTTTCAACCTCTGAGTAAGATAAAATAACGATGGATATCAAACACACACCATTCGGTAGATTGTACGAATATACTGCGAACAGTGCACAACCCCCAAGTCTAGGTCGAGTGACTTGTTCGAGTGAGTTAATCACATCACCACGACAGCTCCGTACTATTCGTAGCATAACATCCTATAAAATGAAGAAATATTTACAAAATAATGGACATGAAACTTTTTCAAGCGTTAACGCTCATGAGTATAATCACTGATGCTATATGTACACTTTTCATAACGCGCATTAAAGTTATTCCTGCTTGTAAAAGATATTGCAATGCCAATTGTGATACTGTCTTTTCTACAATAATAAGGTCTGGAGACCATGAGGTAATTTTCTTTACAACATTTTGTAAGTATTCTTCTTCCTATCAACATAAATAAAATGTGTTAGTATAATCATTGGTACTGTTTGCAGTTCTTCTGTATTCATACAAGGTATAATAAAAACCGTCTCTTATAAAAATTACCTGCATTGTTACAGACTGTAAGCTGCAGTATTTATTTTGCGCTCTCTATCGTGAAATTTGACAATGGTTTGTTTAATTAATAAGCAACATTTTAGTGACTTATAAGCAAATGCAATAAAGCAATGTAAAATTTAGAGATAACTTTCCATTATTTTATTGATAAACTTAGATCTAAAACCAAGTTAACCTGAAACTCTAAAGCGCAATTAAGCAAAAGGATAGTAGGATTTTCTATTCGATTCTTCATCTACACATTTATTAAAAATAGATCTTAGTTCGTAACATATTCGTTAAGAATTGAACTAGGTAATAGACAGTAAAATCTTAAGTTTGTTGGAAATCTATCTTGAATTCTTAGATATTTACTACAAATTTTATTGCGTACATTTTGTTACTTTAAATTAGTTCAAAATTGAAAATATCGTGAATAACTTGGCACTGCTCTGCTTTATCTTACTACGTTTGATTTACATGCTTATGGGCAATATCCTTCGAACAAGCTGTGCCGTATATTACACGGGTGTTTGAAGGGAGTCCTCCCGGAACCTTCAAAATTTTTATTAAAATTAATTCAAGCGATAATTTAAGTTGCCAAATATAGGCGTACCTTTTTAACTTTAACGTATTGTCTAATATCCATTTTATCCCTTTTTTCTACGTCTGGGCGGACCTATTAATTTAAAAATTATTGCAGTTATTAGATATTTACAGGGAATAACTATGTTGTTATACTTAGTGGCGTATGACCCTAAAAACTCGTTTATTCGTATAGCATAATAACTTACAGATTCTACAATTTCATAAGTAATTGATAATAAAATTTCTTTCCATTTACTATCTAGGTTTTCACTGGCCATCAATTGATCATATATTCTTACAGCACTTTCTCGGCGTAGCTTCCTGTTATATCATTAAAACTTAATATTTTATTGCTTGAATATTAAACTATTGATAATTAGATAAATTAATATTACTGGAACTGCTCGTTCATGTTCATGTTTTCTAATGCTATCCTCTTCGTTCTGTTAGTAGCACCCATAGTACTTTTAAAGTTGATTATTCCTTCTGAAGGTTTAGTTTCCGGCGCAGTCTCTCTAACGTTTATTTCATTATTACTTTCATTGCCTGAAAATAACTCGACAGCTTTAATAAAAGGGTACTAAAAGTACGCAGTTTGTTCATGTTAGATACGCAAAACGGAATTACTTTGAGCTGGGGCAATATTAGAAAGAAGGAATTGATTTTTCTTATCGGTCAGATTTGTAACGGAGTTATCTGGATCCCAGGCATCGCTTGAACTAAAAGATTCTGAGTCCAAAGAAAATGATAAGGTCTGTGTGAATACACATATCTAAGAGTTATATGTTGCATATATGACACGAAAGATAGCATAAATACCATCTGTATCACTACTATCACTGATAAAAGTGCAATCAAAACTCTTTGACTGGATTTCTTTTGTAAGCTTTTTCGGATCGTTTGATAGGGATGACTCATCCAAGCTATATTTCTGTATGACGATAACAATACGTAATCACTAAATCCAATTTAAATTAGAACAGTTAAAACTGAAGATACCTAACCTCATTGATAACAAATCTACTATCTTTCGTATCAGTAAACTCATTTGATTCTCGAGTAAGACTAAAGAGAAAGCCAATGGTAACCAAAGCTTGTCCTATACTTGCTGCTTGTGACCTAATATACACGTACGGTATAACAATATCGGTATAAATAGGTAGAGAAGGTATTCTGCCATTATAATGACTAAGCTTGGAAAGTTTTCAGTAGTGAATGAAATCACATTTCTAATTGGTCTTTCTCGATAATATATATCTAACCTATCGATTGCATGACTATGTGATAACAACCAGGAGGAAATTTGATAACCAGAAATGATTGTATCGGATGGCGATGAATTATGGTTATTGGATGTATTTGCTATTAAGTCGATCTTACGGCACATTTCAGAGGCGATATGCTGTAACTAAGGTATTGTAATAAAATAAAATTTAGAGAGATATAAGTATTAAATAATGTACAAATGATTTTCGTTATTGTAAAACAGAAGAAACGAGTAATTCTACAAAACCTTTCTGATTGCTATCACGTTATCAGAGGCATTTTTATCATTTGCATCGTTAAAGCCCGATCGTAGTAAGCTTTTGATCATGGTAGCGGTAAGTGGTAAGAATGCAGTATCTTCTGTATTAGCTATAAGTTGTATTAAGGATGATAAGAGATAGATAATTACAGTGATTATGTTATAAATAGTATAATGAATTATTTCTTATTTGATCGCTTTAGATTTTAACAAGATTGAAAAGATAAAATAACAGATTAATTGATAAGATTGCAGTTGATTGCCTTAGCCTAGAAAGATGTAAAATTGATCAAATGATAAAAAAGTCCAACCTACCATTTTTATGGAAAGAAGCTTTTCTGGCTGATAAATTTACTGTTTCATCTGTTAGTTGAGAATCTAGTTTTTCGGGAGTCACGATACCAGATGTTGATATAGACTTCGCGTTCATTTGGCTATCAACTTGTTGTTTACAATGATGGCAAACTCTGACCATACCGTCAGCATCGATACCAAATGTAAAAGCAAGCAGTGATCCTTGTATACGGATTCTACAGCATGTGCTACAGAATATCCTTCCACAGCATCGACAGTGATGGCGACGGCGTAAGATTGTAAACTTTTGGCCACACTCATAACATTCAGTACATTTTTCATCGGGCATCCAATGCTGTTTTGAGACCTAAGTACAATTATAAAAGGGTAAGCACATATTAAAGAAGTACTGTAGTTACTATTTCTCACTAAGGTTATGGACGCAGATAGCTTTCTTAAAGTTCTCTTGACTGCACTTTTATTTCATTTTATGTTTACTACTTAACGTCTAGTTTCGGTAGCAATGATATATCATGATTTCACTTCATTAGCAATACATAATATTATTATTATCTTTATATATATAATCTTTACTATAGGATACTACAATTGGCTTGGGTAGAATAAAAAAAGTAACGATAGAGGCATGATTTCAAGAAGACTGATCATTTATCGATTTATTACTAAGGAAGTTATAGCAACATAATACTCCATCATTAACTTACATCTTTTGGGGCTGAAGGTGTAGACGATACTTTACTTGGTAACTTTTGGTGAATTGCTGTATTATCATGTTTGTTGTCTTCCATGGGTTGAATTATCACTGATCTCGTAGTCTTGTCATCATCAGACAGCGGCATTCTAGTACGGCTTGATGCCGGTTCTATCTTTACTTTGTTAGCGATCTGATCATACGAAGGCTTTGAAACTAACGTTCTTTCCGATTCTAAAATTATGCGTACAAAAAGTGATGTTGGATGCATCAGTTCAATAGTGCGATCTTAATATATTGCACGACGTACATGTAGTCAGATTGAGACGATTAAGAGAATTGTCTTAATAGATGTAGGTTAAAATCTATGAAGAGTATACCATTGTTGATGTGCAGGGATGAGGGCAAACGATTAGTACTTGTGGGCAAGATTCCGACGCGAGTGCTTTGCTGATCTTCAGGTAATTGAAGTGGCTTGGATTTAGGTATTGAGACATAACTGCTGTGTTTATAGCTAGGCATAACAATAATTTGGTCTGTCTCTGGAATTTTATATTTATTATAGTCTTGGTTGATACACAAGTGAATAAAGCGTAGGGTTTCACTTAAATTCTTGCTCCTAGTGTCTCGCTCGGTTAGCATTGCAGTTAAAGCATCACGACCGCTTCTCACTTGTATCTCATTACTGGAATTACTTTCTATTGCTGCACTTGGATTACGTTCATTAGTATTTTCTGTAAAGAGAGTATAAGATGATATCAACATAGAACTTAAGAAATGAGAAACACTCTCACTCATTACGGATTGTATCGATCCACTAAGATATAGAAGACATCAAAAGATACTCAATATTATTACGTTCGACAGTTTCACTTCCTTCTCCATGATGAGGGGATAGAGCATTGCCTGTCTCGCTCTCTCCAACGGTGGCTTTGATAAATGATTTCCATAGTGAATTCAGTGCAAGTCTATTTTTGGGTTCAAGCTCTGGTGGTAGTTCTAGCGATTGATAGTTGGATTTAGACCTTGTATTCATGTTTTCAGATTTGTTTTTCCATTCCACATTTCAGTTAATTTGTCGTAGATTTCGATATAGCAAGGTCGATGATTGAATGCTATGGTAAACTACTGAACTTCTTCTTCTTCTTTAGGATCTGGGCCTTAACTTCATGTTGACAAGGCTACAAGTAGAGCAGTTGAAAATCCAATTCTGTACCGTTCTTCGTCGAGTCGTTTCTACACTATCGCACCAACAGTGTACAGTATGAAAAGTGAATAACTGACTGGAGTAGTAGACTCTTACCGTATGCCATTTAGTAAATGGACTATACAGCAGCAATCAGCCCATACGGTCGGTACAGTACCTGTAAGTAGAAGTATGAAATGTTGGTGTACAGTACAATTCTCACCAGTCTCTTCTACAGTATGACTGTATATGGCAATATTATTATTTTAGCTTGGCTTTAACTTGCGATTTGCAAATGGATTACGTATACAGAACATGAACTATCATAATTATTTATTCATAATAGCCAAAATAAAAATAATCATTGATAATAAAAATATCTGCATGTAAGTATAGACTTACTATTACCATAGTACTGTGTAAAATGTCTATATACACACTGACTATAGCTGCAGTACAGCGAGTCATGGTGTAGAACCGGCTAGATCTACCTACCCGAATTTCTGTCATTTAACGTTTGAACCATAGATGCGCTGATAATACATTTTTGAAGGTATTTCCCTGAGGGTCCAACTTATGCCTCTAGGTAGACTACTGCACTAAATTTCATAGTTTTGATTACAAGTTTGGTCTAGTGAGCTCGAAAACACACGGCTTCCTACGAGAGTACTATACGTCGGATTACAAATTATACTACTGTGCATTATTTTATTATATTAATTATTATTCACAACTCATTTTACCGAGACTGTAATCTTCCTTCTTGTTTCGATGATTTAATATACTCAGATCATGTAGTAATCAACGATTATTTAGCGGTCGCTATTGCCACTATAGTTGACAGACTACAAACTCAAGTGTTCAGTCAGCATACCGTTGAACGACAATAAATGTGAGCACTAGATATTTATTTATTACAACGCATGAGAAAATAGCACATACATTTATATAAAGTAAATAAATATTTAATCGTTTGCTAAATCCGTTCAATACCTGTACGAAAGTGAGACCCAACTTATCGAAGGTATGAGTGTAGACTACCTTAGCAAAGCTAGTACATAATCATATATTATTAATTTAACGTGCATGAGAGGGGCATTACTGAACTACGAGTTCAGGCAAAACAAATAAAACCTTAGGCATTTACCATTAGACTCGGCAACAAATCTCTCGACCAACAAATTAATTAAAGATCATACGAAATATTACTTAAATAGTGCTTGGAGGCATTCATAATGGCGATGACGCATTTAAACTGTTACTCACATAAAACTGTAAAATGATGCAAAGCATCATTCCTTCATAAGACCTCCTGTTTCATTAGTTGACGTCACAGAATTATACATGGTATATAACTTACACAACATCAGGTACGTTTAATGAATAATACTGGTAGGCAAATTTATAAGAGATGTATTATCGTAGAAGAGCCTATCAGTTATTAACTTAAAAAGTCAAATACAGATATCAAGGTTAATTTAAAACGAAGCACAAAATCAGAACTACTAGAATAGCAATTACCAAATTACCGTACATATAAATTAGTTAGTTGCACTACAGACAAAAAGGTTTACACCAAATACGCATCTTGAGTCTGTTAATACGAATCTACTAGTGTAAACTATTTAACTTAATGACTTTTTAAGACTTTTCTAATTACTCAATTGGTACTTTGTACGTTTCGTAAACTTAATTGCAACCAGGATACAAAACCATAGTAGAATACAGGCACAAGGAGATGTCCATACAATTCAATTTTAGTGAATTAATCTTTTCCTTGCTACCATCCGTGCAATTTATGGAAATCATTTACTCTTCGTCTCCTTCTTCTTCTTCTTCATCATCCTCATCCATATCGTTTTCGGCTGTAGCGTCTTGATATTGCTGGTATTCCGAAACTAAATCATTCACGTTCGACTCGGCCTATAATTTCAGTAAATTAACTTAAAATTAGTCTTTTATCATACTGTTTCAGCAATATTGCGGCCGTACCTCTGTAAATTCCATTTCGTCCATTCCTTCACTGGTGTATCCATGAAGGAAAGCTTTACGACGGAACATGACACTAAACTGTTCGCTGATTCTCTTGAAAAGTTCTTGTATCGCTGTGCTATTTCCAATAAAGGTACCGGCCATCTTCATATTACGTGGAGGAATATCACAGACAGCTGTTTTAATATTGTTTGGAATCCATTCAACGAAGTATGCGCTATTGCGATTTTGGATGTTGAAAATTTGATCGTCGACGTCTTTCATAGGCATTTTACCACGGAATATCGTCGCAACAGTTAAATAGCGACCATGTCGTGGATCACAAGCTACCATCATATTACGATTATCGAACATTTGTTGAGTTAATTCAGCGACAGTTAAGGCAAGATAATTCTGTGTCTTCGCACTAATCAATGGCGCAAAACCAGGCATGAAGAAATGTAGACGTGGGAATGGAACCATATTAACAGCTAATTTACGCAAGTCTGCATTTAACTGTTAGAGCCAGAATAAAAAAATTTATTTTAAATTACTCTTACTGTTAATACATCTTGCAGCAAACAATATTCAGTCAAGAAAAAGAATTATAGCATGCAAATAATAGCTTTATAAATATTCTATTTATATTAATACCATACCTGACCAGGGAAACGTAAGCATGTCGTGACTCCGCTCATGGTATAGGATACCAAATGGTTAAGGTCTGTATAGCTGGGATTGCTCAATTTAAGCGTACGGAAGCAAATGTCATACAAAGCTTCGTTATCGATGCAGAACGTTTCGTCAGTATTTTCTACTAATTGATGCACCGAAAGTGTAGCGTTATAAGGTTCAACTATGGTATTAGAGACCTTCGGGGAAGGAACCACGCTAAATGATGTCATAATCCTATCTGGATATTCCTCTCGAATTTTCGAGATTAAAAGGGTGCCCATACCTACGATGCAAAACAAGGCTCTTAAAAGTGTATGATGCACATCACCGCGTGATAAAAGGCTGACTCAACATTGCTATATTACAGTGCTACCGATATACTGCAGCGTAAAATTGCATAAGCGTCAAAAAGCGAATTATTGCCACTGGATGAATCGATTCATTATAACACATTATTGATTGTTTGATTGACTATAGAGTATGTGCAATCATTACCTGAGCCGGTTCCACCGCCCAATGAATGAGTCAGTTGGAAGCCTTGTAAAAAGTCACAACCTTCTGCTTCTTTTCTTATTACATCTAAAGCTGAATCCACAAGTTCAGCACCTTCGGTGTAGTGTCCTTTAGCCCAGTTGTTACCAGCTCCGGCTTGACCTAGAATGGGGTTGATTGATAAGGCAAATTATTAAGCAAAGATTAGGAAACATACTTGATACGTGTATCTGATGTAGTGTATAGGTACAATCGGTATTGGTGCACCATTAATAGGCTAGATCGAATATAAAACATTTTAATCAATTATATCTCAAGCTTTGTAGGCCAGTGCCGTATGGTAGGTGCTTGTGCAAGGAATTTTTTGTCCAAGTGCTCCTACTGAACGTACCGAGCTTAATCATAACTAAATTATACTGTTTTTTTGGTGCTGAACTATACAGTATAGCACCGTCTGCGCACTGTCCGAGATTGGCAAATCAATACCTACCGTATACAAAGTTGTCAGGACGAAAAAGTCGACCATATGCGGAGGATCGTATAGCATCCATTGTCCCCGGCTCTAAGTCAACTAAGACTGATCTTGGAACGTATTTTCCACCTACAATTCAATCGTATATCAATAAAATAAAAGGGAATTCGTTTAAGAAATCTTGAATCCATCTCAAGAGAATTGAAAATAATCAACATATGAAAAAATTGGATTTTTCTACAGTAAATATAACAAGTTGCCAATAGCAAGTCGTACCCGAGGCTTCATTGAAGTAGACGTTGATCCTTTCCAGACGCATATCATTCTTACTATCAGTTAGGGTAAAGTTACCCTCATTGTCTAAGCCGTGTTCATCGGATATAATTTCCCAGAACTGTAATAAATTGAAAGGAGAAATGGTTACGGTAACATCAAATCAAAATGATAGAAAAAGAGCCAGTGTAAGCTATTGCAAATTGGCAATTATTCCGATATCTGCTTTCAAATGGGCAAAAATAGATTGAGTAACTCGATGTGGCATGACTTTGAACAGTTGGAAAACTATTTTCAACAGGTTTTACAACAATATTCATAGCCCTATGAAAATGTCACTAGACTAGCTAGCTTCATCTCACCTTGGAACCCATTTGGTTCCCACATTGACCAACTTGAACATGAACAATTTCTCTCATTTTGCTTTTGTGACCTCCAAATTGACTGATGCAGAATAAAATTGGCAACAAGAAAGGTGACGACTTAAATTAATAAAGCGTTCCAGTGATAGGAGAATGTGCAACAACGCGCCGATTCCGTCGCAGTACGGTACCGTACGCCACTATTTAAATTCAATGCAACGTGCGAATTTACCATGGTATGACTACAGTATTACAGTTCAGTGTACAGTGGAGAGTAAAGCGCTAAAAAAAGGAGCCTACACAACACTACTGTGCAATACTGTACAGTATGTACCAGTATGGTGAACTCAGAAGACAGGGGTGGACAAATACAGCACGTCGAGTACTGTACGAATACTGTACAATGTACTGTACATTGTACAAGTACAGTACTATCGTCATCCAATCAAAGGAGATCTGTCAGCGCACGTGTGCAATATGCTGTACACATACTGTAAAGGAAGGAAAATCTTCAGGTTGAAAATTCACTGCGGGTATTCGCTGTCACATACTGTACTGTAAAAAAGGAAGGAAAATCTCCAGGTTGAAAATTCACTGCGGGTATTCGCTGTACACATACTGTAAAGGAAGGAAAATCTCCAGGTTGAAAATTCACTGCGGGCATTTGCTATCTTCCTTATTCGTTTCAAGTGACATGTATGAACACTTGTACACTACTGTTATATTTATCTTACTAGATGATATACTGTAAACTACCGTACACAGCATAGTATGGTACTATATACTGTACAGTCATGCATGACTAAAAATCAATACCGAGGTATTTTTTACCCGTAATGCCGCGCTGTACAGTACTGTACTGTACGTAATGATGTCATTCGATCTTGTTTACCATACTGTGCATAGGAAGATGCAGAATAATGGATACTGTAGTTTGGGAAGGTATTTTTATTTATAGTTGTGACTATTTCCATATACCCAATGAAAGGGATCAATTTGGACAGTATTTCTCTTTTACAAGTCCCTGCAAGCATAAATACGCGTACTATTCACGGTTATTCACCAGCAATTTTCGCCTAATTTGCACAACAGTGAATAATAAACACTCCAGTATGCTTACATTCATTAGTAGGCGGGGGCTTTTACGCCCTTTTTTAATGCCATCGCCCTGTTCTGATCCGCAGGACTGCAAGCAACTACTTTACTCTATGCGCTGTGCATTATCATAAAATTGTATTATTTTAGTCTGCGGCGTAGTGACATAAATGTATTTAGAAATAAATAACAATAATATAAAAGGATCTCAATCTGGTCCAGTCTGTAGCCAAGCAAAAGCAACTACTGGACACTGTACAGTATAGTACAGTATCTTCTGATAAAGTTTCAAACATACAATGCATCGTATACATGTAGAGGCGCGTACAGCACAGTATTTGGTAAATATACCAACTAAAAATCCCGCTTGAAATATCGAAAATATTTATTTGTAGACGGTTTTACAGTACAGTATGCTTATATGGACTCTACAACATAGTTAAATCTTTTAATTTTGCCTAGAGGCCCACTTGTAGTTTATGGCATTTAGTAAGATACTGTGCGTTGTACTTACTACTTACTGCATTGGCTATGGGCACGGTCAATAAAATCTCACTGATTTAAATCACACTTATGCATTAATACGTACGTGATTCATCATTACTCAGTTATTACTCATTAACATCATGGCTTAAATTAGCCTAGACAGTACAGTATGCGCGCATTCTGTAAACACTTCCGAAATTATCGTTATTTACTGTATTATTCGACACTAGCTAGCAGTAATCGGTGAGTCATACTGTATTGGCAGTTACCGCATGCTCACGATTCTTTCAAATAGTGTTACATCATTTGTATTAAAGCCAGTGCTCTGAACTCTTAAATTCTATAAATAAGTTCAAGCTTATTTTAATTTGAATGCTTATGTTTAATTAGTATTGACCGAGTCTGATATTGACAATCGATAGATTTTGGAGGATTCTAGGCTATTATAGCAAGTGCTACTATGATATATGTAGATGGGGCGAGATTATTTATTGTTAGTAATGATTTGATTATCATAAACTGATTGCCTTTATCACTCTTGATTGATCCTAGTCTTAGTTCAATAGAAAGAATATCATGATGAATGTAATTAATTTCGTAATGCAGATTTCTCCTACTGCGATAACACTCGGTGGCCACTGTACAGCAAACTAACTAACCAAATTAACCAAATCGTTTATGCACATCGATGGTTTATTAATTATTACAAAGTTTACAGTGCAAAATGCAACCTTTTGATACATATTTTACAATAAAGGAGATCTAAAAATTTTGAGACGAAACAAATTTCGGTAAATGTTTTCGCTAATACGCGTAGTCTAAAGATGCAATGAAAATGGCTATTCGTACTATACTCCAATACAGTATATACAATTTCTTAGGTAATTAAATAAGGTTACTTACAAAGCATAGGTATACATATAAATGCAATGCATTATCGGTAATTAAATGAGTGTTCTTTAGACCTTATGTAAATTTCATAGGGTAACAATTAATACATAAAAAATGAGTCATCTCGATTCATTTACTGTACACAAAATATCGTCATTTAAGATATAAAACCAGAGTACTCTTGAAAAGCTACTTCAGTTTGGTATTTCTATCAAGCTGTACATTTACGCTCCGCAGATTTTTACAGTAATACAGTATCAATTTACGTATCAGAAATCGATGTTAAAAATTTACTATGTAACCGTTGTAACATTTGATAACTTGCGTTAACATAACGTTGGTTTGCATATGCTAAACATCGAACAAGTAGCTTATACTATTTTCAACTATCAACTAGTCATAATCAGTAATCCATTAGCCTTGTCGTCTTTGCTGACGCATTCTATACACATCATGTCGTGGAGGTCGTGCGGTAATTTCTTCGTCACTGTCTTCATTTTCTAGATAAGCGGCTGATCTTTTACTTCCCCTACTATGATTAATCTCGTTGCCTTCCGTAATACTCATTTTCGCAGTATATTCTAATTTAGAGAAGTTAAAGACAGCCATTCTTAATACCTTATGTAAGATATATCAATAATATTATAATATACTATACATATTGCTGAACGTCCTTTATAAATCTAATTTTGTAAGTATTATCATTTCTTTCGAAGAAAATTAAGTACCTTTCTCGTACTGCTCAGGAATCGGTCTTTCTGCCATATACCGTAGTAGGTCGTCTACTTTAACAAAGTTACCCTACCAAATCGATAATTAATATATGAGACACCCCCGTTATAAGAATAGACCTGATTTAAATATAGCATAATAGACATAAATACCACGAAACAAGTCGGTGGTGGAATCTGAGTCATTAAGTACGCTACGGCGGGTGGGACTGGGAAATCTCCGCCAGGAACTACGTGCACGCCTAAGACTGAATATTGCATTTTGTAGGCATTAGGAATAACTAATATTTACATATAAATGTTACGAGCAACGCCGCAAACCTGGTTTAGAGGACGGTCGGAATGGGATTAACTGATTAAAGTCTGGCCTTGGAAAGTCATCTTGTCTTGAAGTATTTTCAACGTTTACTTTTTGTTGTACAATGACATTATTCAGAGAAGCAATCTATTTGTAATTCAGAATATTAAATAAAATAGGATACTTAAGCTTGCAAAATGACACCTTTAAATAGCTTTTAAAAGGGCTAATGTTTCCATAGCCAAGCAAACCTTGTAGCCCATTGCTCTTAATTCTGATGTGGAACACGGATACAGATCTCTAAATTTATAACGATCGACAAGCAATGCCGTTTGATGTCCTTTGTATTCCTTAGGAACAGAATAATAATTATAAGCATCAAAGTTCATAGATAATTAGCGATATCAATTAGTTTTCGTAGAATGTGAAAATTTGCTAAAGTTATACTTGATCGAACCTCAAGATTAATGTGATTACGTCTTTGTTCTACTTTTAATAAGCTTGCTAAATCTCCATTGTTAGTTTCAAAGTCTAAGAAGGCACTCCATATTTGTCTAAAAAGTTTACACCATTTGTTAAAATCGTAATAAATATTTTACTTTAGAGAATTTATAGGATATGAAAAGACAATTTTACTTAGTTTTTTCCTGCGGCATTTGATTTAGGACCTTTTCAAATAGTACTCTAGTGTTGTTATCATCTATAACATAATTAAAAGACAAGATATAACTAGTGCAATGAAATAACCTAGAACTAGTATATCAAAAACATCATGTGTGTGCATAAAAATTTTACCATTTAAATGAGAAAGGAAGTCAATATAACATAGCACATAATCTGGATTCGATCCAAATTTCTAATGTATAAAGAATGATAAGAAAAGATTTAATACATAATAGTTGTATGGTTTCAATACATAAATATATTTATATAAATACCTTCAAGCCCAGATCAAATATTTTAATAGATATGGTTTTTTCCTTATAAGTATAAAAATATAAATTATGTGCGTAAGAACACAAGTCATCGATTGCTATACCATTATAAAATCAAGACTATAACTAACTTTTGAGCAATGATATTCCATTAACGCAGCTGCTACATAAACCTGTCATTTACGGTAGTGAATATATAAATAATAATTTTATAAAAAGAAACAGGAACAAATATAATAATAATAAAGATAAAAAGGAATCATTATTACATGGTATTGACTTCTGGCGTCATTTCTCGATTTCTTGAACACTTTTCGGGCAGACTGAATTCCTTCAGCACGGCGAACGAATTTGATGTATTGTATATAGACCTATTAAATTCATCGCTAATATTAATATAATGCAAATTTAAGATGAATCTAGTTATAAAGCTATTAATTACAAAAGTACCAAAGTAGGGTCCACGTCATCTCTGAGCAGTAATTTATTATATATCGAGTGGCACTTTTCGTACTGCATGCGAGACTAGGTAAATAATAATCAATCTTATCATTAGTAAAGCTGTACTTGTAGTCCAGCACTACACGAACGACCGGCCGGCGAATGGCCACTGAAATCAGGCCATTAATTCAATAACTTACTTCTTCAAAATCTGCAAACGCAAAATACAGTAACATGTTGTTTTTTAATAGACCATCAACAGCTCTTTGGTATACATTTGCAGCTTCTTGGCTTAATTCTCGACCAAGTTGCATATCCTATATTAGTCAGATGCAAACGCCACTAAATAATCTTAAAGATATGCTAGTGAGCAACGTTAAATCTAAATAATAATAATTTTGCTTAAATACCCCTTTCTCTGATAAAACTTTACTCATTGATTCTAGAAATAATGCAGCTTCATTCCAAACATCAGCATGATGGCCCATAACCAGTAAACATTGCTCGTAGGCGAACATGACTAAGAAAAATTCGTGAATAGAAATATTTTAAAGTAAATATCTAAATATTAAATATTACGTTATTTCCCACAATGAGAATGATTGTTTAGGATACTTGGGGTTTGCTATGTTAAGAAAATTTGATTTAAAATTTAGGTGTAACTTACCACGCTTTACCAAAGTTAACGTATCTTCCGTAGATAAGGGATTGCTTTTTTCCCATTCAATGTATCTTTTCCAAAGTTGAAGCTATTTAATTAACGGAGCATTAACATCAGTGTATATATATTAGTGTGCGTATGAAAGTCATCGGGAGCCAACACGGAAGATACTATAATGTATATTAGTTAAAAACCTGAGAAAGGTTGGTAAGATGTGGCGGAAGAGCAGGTGCCCCTTTCACAAGACCCCTAGTAATAGCTTCAAATTCCTTGTATAGGAAAGGATTGAAAGCAACATAATAAATTTTAGCGTAATTAAACAGTCAAAGCGCCATGGTAAATTATTTTTACCTTTGATACGCGTTTTGCAGTTATAAATTCTTTATTTCTTTCATCGATAAGCTTTTTAGCCATATTTTTATTTGTAGTCTAAATTAAGCAAAAAGTGCAATGTAAAGTAGTAAACTAAATCAGTCACTGAATAAGAATAAATAATCGAAATTTAAGTTTCATTGTAATTAAAAGTAAAATATTCTATTTTCTCGTTGCAATTGTTTTCACAAACATCTTACTTGTTCGAAAGTATTATAATCCTTCCATAGTTGTTCAACGTTAATGACGGGCAACACTATGGCTCTTTGATAGACTTTTCGAATAGCAACTATTTTCTGATTTTCTGCATAAGCGTTTGATACTTCCCTATGAAAAGAAGTAATTTTACATATCCGTCAGAATTCGTCACCAATGTAGTATACTCGTATAAAGTTGTCTTACATTGTTTTTAGAAATTCTAAATAATCGGCCCATATCTATAGAGATAAAAAGAAACCTTGCTTAGAAACATAATAGGGAAAATATTGTGTTCTCTCATATCAACGGCTACTTCAAACCTGAAAGGACTGAATGTCTAATCCCATTTTGCCTAATGCAAACTCGTAAGCTTGGGTCATTTTATCACTATCATAAAAAAAATGCATTGCAACCTTTAAACTCTTATGATACCATTGTTAGCTAGCCAAATGGCATATCACTTATAAACTAACCGAAATGCAGGCAGATGTTTTTTCGTTTCTCTAACATATGTAATGTAGCTCTTCCATAAGTCGATACTCATAACTTTAAGGAGGCATCTTTGAAATAACTAATTATTGAAAAAATATAATTTTATAAGCATTTTGTTATAAAGTATACGCGTATTAGTGTGTTTACTTACTGCTTCGACTCTTTCATAATTTTTGTTCTTCATCTAAGAAATATATAAGAAGGTTATTTCATTCATCATCATGAGCATCTGCTACGTTAAGTTTACAAATATTCTGCATAGATATCTGGCATTAACATTCCAATAATATATAATAGATTTTAGAGAGGGGTTATCACGTTTCTATCAATCACAGTCATGCGTCTTACAACTGATTTATAGTTTTGTGACGTATTAACACTTAATTCTGATTTTACTATTTAAAACCAATATTGTGTTTATGTAACGAACATTACTCGCATTATTTTCCAAAATCGAGATACCTAGCTTACTTTTAACATTTAGCGACAAGATTGTGCTTCCACTAATAGCAGTTTTGGACGGATAGTCATATGTATTGCTATTTCAGCATATTACTTATCTAATTTAGATAGAATGAATACATAGACTAGTCTGACTAAGGGGTAGGTCATACTGATCTAGCAAGCTTTTATAATGTTCAATACCTTACACTATGGAACTTATCATTCATAGCAAAATCCATCCGGTGGTACTTTACTGTCTAAAATTTTATTTACATTTAACACTTATCTGAGGAAATTTACCTCGTGCTCTACGTAGATTCGCCAGTATCGTCCAGCATTAGGAAATTGATGCAATAATTTTTCATAAAATACGCGAGCGATTTCAATGCTTTTAGACTAATGATTTTAGAAAAAAGTGAAATACATAACATTAGAAGCGATAAAATCTTCATATCCAATCAACCTCCAATTTTGAAATACTGAATCTGCAGAGGATTTAGAGTTTGAAGGCGCTGAATCATGACAGTGCATAACTTGCAAATTTGATTAATAGAAACTACTAAATCTGGCATATTTTTATTATAATGCTATAAGAATACTAGAGACTTCAGACAAGAAAATGACTTTTTAGCTTAGCAACTGGAGATGTAGAGTGAACTTTGTATAATGCAATAATTTAATCAATATGAAAATGCTCTGTAATTGATTGGTGGATTACGATCAAGGTTAGCTAATTGATTTTTTTACAAGTAAAATATACTGTAACCACCATACTGCATATTTTATTCAGTTATTTGTTGTGGTTGAAATCATACTTGGGCTTCTCGAACTAAGATTGTCCAAGCTTCTAGATCGTATGGATGAGTTTTAATTCTTTCTTCGGCTTTAGCGCATCGTTCAGGCTCACGGATTTGGTTTGAAACCTGAAAAATGGCAGTAGATCAAATAATAAGATAGTGACTGATAGTACCTTGCTAACTAAATTAGTTACATCATGTTGATCGTGTATCAGCGCTCATCGGAAATCTAATACTGTACCATATTGTTGGATAAAAGTTTTTCTATCTGAAAAGATTCACATTACCTGATTGCAATCATACGAATATACAGTAGTTTGGATGATGTAAACACAGCAGAGCTTGAATGAATTACCTTACAGTAGTATAAGGCTGTGATACATACATTATTAGCAAGACTGCAAAGCGTAATCAGTGAGACACTACGTGGGCCATAAATTACTGCATTTCTAAGGTTAAGTGCATTGATCAACAAAGGTAGAATGCTGTATACTCGTAAGTGTACATTTGTCTTGTAATTCAATTTCGATCCTACGGACATACAGTATATTACGTCTGATTTCTCCATAGAAATATGACGGCGATATACTTTGATCGTGTGCTTCGGGGTACAAGCTAAATTCAGCATTATAGCTGGACATTGGGGAGGGGGTATAGCGAATTACTAGAGTCTTATCCAACAACTCAATAGAACGATCGATCTCAGTAAAGTCCTTGTATCAATGATGAGAGTAGACCATGGAGTCTAGTTGGTTAGCATGGGTAGAACGCCAATCATTCTCTTTTTGCATAATAAAGTGCGCGGGCTTAACAAAATACTGTCAAGGACTACAGTAGTGGTTGGTACAATACACGTGCAGAGGATAAATGATCCAATTTCTTCAAATTAATCGACTCTTTCTTCATTGTGTCATGAGATTACCTTGGTATGAGATTCATGGGTTTCTTCAACTTTGATACGTTTGGCGGGATTAGCTGCCATGTTGCTGAATTTTACTATTATCTTCTTTTCTTCAACGATTTCACTTGTTCAGCCAAGGCTAAAGTTGATCTCGATATCGCACCAATACTTAATTTATACTTGCTACAATAAAATGAGAGAGATACCAGCAGGACTGGAGAACAGATAATGCCAATATAGTCAGACACTTATCCTATAAGAAGAAAAGGATTTTAAGCATCAAATTGCCAGTGAATAAGCGTTGAAATGGGATATTTCAGTGGGTTGTCAAGGCTGAAATGGCTACACGTTCCCGACCGAATCAATCGCCACTGCAACTGTGCTCCGATTTATCCAGTAGTCCATACAAGTGCATTCCTCTCCTGTACGGTCCATACTGAGTCGGTCTATTTGAGGGACAAACGAGACAGTACTGTTGACCAATGTAGCCAGTGGAATACTTTTGTAGCACGCACTTCACTTTATTGTATTGAAATTACAGCAGTTGACGCGACTATACGCACACTCACGTTTGTTCGTCCGTTGCTGCACTTCACTGTCTGCCCTGCACGAACAGTTGGTGGAAGTCACTTTTGAAACAATCTTTGTTGTGACTCACTCACTACTCAAGAGTGAGATGCTGTAGGTTGTCTGGTTTTACCGGTATGGTTTTACCAGTGTTTCTGTTTGTTTTCTTTCTGTTGGTTAACTATGACACAGTACAATACACTGTATACTTTACAGTACTCTTCACTCATGACTACTGTAAGCGTGTACTGTAGTACTGTACAGTGTACAGTACTGTACAATACAGACATACTGTACTGTACCGTACTGTACTGTACAGTACAGTGTACAGTATACAGTACTGTACAGTACAAGTAGTACTCCATGAGCTACTGTACAGTACAATACTGTACTGTACTGTACTAAACTGCGCATGGGTAATCGTACAAAACAACAATGGACACTTGTACACAGTACAGTGTAGGTTACATGTACGGTATGTGGATCATGTCAGGGACTACTCAACAAAGAAATTCCCCAACCAACTAAACCACGGTACTTTCGCACCTATGCTGCAACCCTAAGTCCTCATGTAAAATCTTAGCTCTCTTTTCCCTTCTTACATGTGAATCGGAGTCGGCATTTAGTCGGGGTTTACCATACAGTTAGGAAAGAAACTGTTTTTTTCTTCACCACACCATACTGTACAGTGTACAGTGTACAGTATGGTCAGAACACTACAGTACTGTACACTGTACTGTACTGTACACAGTAGAAGAAGTACTGTACAGTACTGTACGGTAGATGTGTACACTGTACAGTACTGTACTCTACAGTACAGTATGACCTATGATCTAGTAGGACGTACAGACGGTACAGTACAGTATGGACGACGATAGCCTACGAAACAATGCCGTAGCAGCATAGCTTGCATACCTTTTTATTCTTGTCCTGTATTCATTACGTAACGTGTACTTATGCGATAGAAATGTACAGTACAGTACAGTACTGTACGGTAGAACAGTGAACTGTCAGTGCAATTCCGTGACGCCCTACAGTAACACGAATGATTCACTTTTCTTACCCCTGTTGACTTACTAACTTGAAGTAAAATGGATATTAAGGTGGATAATATCACGAGTACGAAAAATTTTACGTAAGTAAAATAATTGTGACTGTATTTGGCAACGATTAGGAGCTGCTTGATGGCTTTATTACTTGTTATTCATGCAAAATGTTACCTCTCCAATACACAGTATTCTTATTGTTTCGTTATCCACGACGTCGTTTTCAATTCCTGATAGATAGACAACAATATCAAACAGTCCATTCTTATCAACAGATTAAGAATCTTCATACTATGCTACTGATGCGTACCATCAATCGTCTGATATCCTGGTTATCATTATTGGCAGTAGCTGTTGCATGCTGTTATCTAAACTATTAGATTATGCAATTTGTAAGACATGATAACTTTGTACCCGTTTTAAGCGCATACGATACTGTTGTAGTCCAGCAGTTGAAACTAAAAATGGCTACTATTATATACAGTATAATTAACCGATAGACGATAGCCCATAGTCTACAGTATATTGCTTATTCGGGCTTTTGAACGAAAGGAATATTCATACGCGCTACATAATGTATACTACAGTAATCTAGTTGTTATAAATCGGAATACTACCAATTAGAGTACTGAATCAAGCGAAATACTGTACAGTTAGGTAACAAACTATTAATTTAGCGGTTATGCGGATAATCGATGATAATCCTTTTAATGTTATAATCTAGTTGGATACATAGTATCATTGAACGGGACTAAACAATCAACTCAATACTTATTTGACATGACGTGGGAATTACAGTATCCTGCACAAATTCGGATATATTAACATTATTAAACTAAAACCAAGCCCTTTTGCGCACACACATACACAATCTAGAGGCGTTATTTACAGATATGACGTTTAAATATCAGCAATTGAGCTAATTTGTAGCCAATTTGAATGGTCAATAGTATAAGTACGTCTACTAGCTAGTAACTATACCAACTTTATTGCAAGCATATTTGGCTGAATATACCGTCACATGAGCATAGACGAGTATAGATTGTATCGATTGGAATTGTATCATCGATGTTGTATAGTACGTACATTTACATTTATTTTTTTTTTTCCCTTATAGGAATTCCACATGCACACCGACGGTTAACATAGGTGAATTTACGCTTTATTCGTTAATACCTGCTGTAAGTGCAATTGGATTCTTTCAATATTATTTTCTCCATATTGACTTAATATGATGGATGATGCGCTACGTTTGCATGCGATAGCTGTTATATTTCATCATAAGAGTATGTTACCTGTAGTACTAGACTACTAGCTATGACGTTCAGCTGTAATAGCAATAGCATAGCCAACTTGATCAACCGGTGAATATTTTACCATATCCATTTTATGTGCTGATCTTTACTTATAAGACTTGTTCTACTTGTATATCTTGCATTTAGGCTCTTATCGTGGTAGTTCTATCTTTTACTATACAAAGAGTAAAACGGAGGCATTACTGCAATGGCTATCCCGGTCTAGTACAGTAAGTGCTAGATTTTGCTTTACCTTGTTGTACTTAGTTCTCTATGATATAAGTAATGGTAGCATCTGAAAATTAGTAATTATTATAACAACAGTAGAATCGATATTTATTTCTAGGCAATAGCTTAACTAGGTTATTATTACATTAATTGTAACGCACCGTATAAAGCGTGTACATGCACATTATACAATCATGATTATTACACATTACATGCGGACGGCTCTATAAATTATGTGATAGGTGTAAATTCAGTAGGTAAAAACCTACGTAAAATTTTTTACTGGTATTTCTTCCACTGTAAGCGTTCACATTACAACAAGATCTTGCGTACATTGAATGAGTTATTCTTAAAAGCTATAATTTATTATCATTACGATACTGTATTATAGCACAAAATTGAATTTATATTCATCGTTTACCGATAATAGGTCTTGTTTTGCTATTGCTATTCTATACTAAAGCCTTCTTTTCTCCGTTTAGTCCCATCGATTTTCTGAGATACGATCGAAATCGCTTTGCTCATGCTGCCGCTTTTGGCGCTACAGCTGGAGGGTGTTTACAAATATTTGAAAAAAAATTTTATATCTTCGGTATTAGCGCTAGTTCTTCCAGCTGGCTGATGAGTGAGTGTCGTTTGTTAACATTGTACAGTATTATTGTTAAAGCTTGTCTGTATGACATCATCAGTTAATCGATTACATCAAAAATACGTATTTATACATTTGCCATCAGACTGAATTTTAGCTACAAGACTACCAGTGTATTATAGCATATAGGTCCTAAATGTAAAGTTTAGATATCTGCAAAGATCTATAATAGATGTTTGGCAAATTTTAATTGATTCAGTTTATATTTCAATAGATTCAACTTCATTAAACTTGTAAAACTTTTCTTAAAAGAATACCTACCTTCCTAATGAGGATGTATTATATCTAATGAATAATTAAATATAATATAACTCTCAATATAGATATTGTTGCAATAAGTTCGTTCTGTATGATATTATATTTCTTTCATACTATTAATGCAGTGCTTGACAGCCTGGCTGCAGTCCTTGTAATTGGATTCAGCTATTATCCAATATTCGCTTGTTTGTCAACCGATTATGAAATTTTGGGATCGGTACTCGGTTTATTTTACACATTATCTTGGTAATATAGACTTGCCCGTATAATAGTAAAGATGAATTTATTGTTAATCAATATCTGTATTGTAGATTGATTGATTGTAATCGTCCATGCATACCATAATTCTAGGTTGATCATTAAGTTGATCACTGTAATAGAATGTCCTAACGGGATGGCTACTGATGACAACTTCATAGCCTATGTACGGCCTTGATGAATTTTAACTTAGCTTATTAATCGATTTATGACTACGAATGTACTTTACAGTTTATAACTTCTATTTTACAATAGTGTTTATTTTTATATTAACTCAATTTTAGATTGGTGTTCCCGGCTATTCGGTTCTTTCAAATTTACCCGAAATATGTTGTTTAAGTTATATTAGTTTTACATTTATTCGTAACTTTATGCAACGTATTAGAAACCAGCAGACGGACACAAAGGTTAACCAATCTATTGACACTTACCAAAATTGTCACCTACTTAACTACAATCTTAACAATGATATGATAGGCAGTTCTATTCGTGGCCTCTGTACATCAATTTGCACACGTTCGATCTATACTAAAGTTCACGAAGAGATATTATAGGAATCGAAATACCGATGATACTACGCAATCATCGACAACTACCAAACTTGTTAGGAAATTCATGTATCATCCTAAAGCCGGTAATTAGTAACCACTAAAAGCGTCAGTCTACTATTTACTGGATGACGATGCCATCAGTAGTTTGGGAAACTTTAGCTAAAGTAACATGTTACTGCTTTTTGTTGCAGAATTTAAATATCCAACCAGGATTTTGGCAACATTCTTGGTCGCTCAAATCGCTGTCTATAAGGTAATCTATGTAACTCCTTATTTCCTTAATAAATTAGTATCGTGGAATTTCAACTATGTTTTTATGTTCGTAGATTGCATTTGTGTATGGGTTTGTTGGATTTGAAAGTTTCCGCATCTTGAAGGGTGTTTTCTACGTAGGTGAATACTTAAAGCTAGCGAATGTTCATAACCCAAAACAGAATGCTTCGCTAAGTGAAACTCATAGACTTTTCACTTTGATAACGCAAGGTATCGCGGTATTACAAGGTAATTTGAAAAACTTTAGGCCCTGTTATCGGTTGCGAACTTAGACTTGTGATTTCTTTATGGTTATTTGCTTTTAACGCATATCTTTTGTTTTATGCAGTTTCGTGGACAGTTGCGACTATCTCATCATGTTTACTGATTCTATTCTACTCACTGCACATGATATCATGTATACGGTGAGAATATTATACTGTAATTTAAACGTAAATTTATGGATATGGTATTACTGATAACGATGTAACAGCTTTCTGACATAGGTAAATATTTATAGAAATTTTAATTATAATCATTTAAAATTCTCTAGTAAGCATTTGCTAAGACTTTATTGTGGGTCAACATCTTTCCTGCCTCAGAAAAAATTTAGTCCTACTTTGACAATGGTAAGTAATACTCGTACATCTGTAAGACTATCTGTATTTACGATTAATTGCCGTAAAAAGTACACAATATATGTTGATATTGTAGGCACACAGTTTGAGATATTCCGGCTATCAAATTGGGTATATATTATGGGGTGAGCTACTCTAAGTCCATTCTACTTAAATGCTAAGGGTAAAATGAGTCAATCATTAACTTTTTGTGTGCGTAATATCTGCTTACAGGTTTTATTATCTCTCAAGTCTTCCTGTTCGTGATAGCTGTTTTGGTAGCTTACTTCATAGTACTCCCTATCATGGGTGAAATACCTCCTGTATTACTAAACTTTCTCGTCAGCATATGGTTAGTAACGACATTGTTCTAGACAGTAGCAATCAACAGAACTCTCTAAACTTAAATTTATAATATTTACATTTTAAAATCTCTAGGCCGTCCATTGCTTTCTCGGCTGCCGCATACTTCATACAGTATCTGCTATCTAGATATTGTTTGTTGAAGAATAGAGGGAAGGATGGTCTGGTTGTTGATAATAGGTACCTTTTTACACTCATGCACTTGGCTAAACCAATTTTGAAAGCTGTTGATCCCAAAAATCTAAAAAGAATGACGTTATTTTATCATTATAGGCGACTACTCAGTAATGCAGCATATTTCTTATTCTTCTATAATATCATCCTCGGGTTATTTTCTGCCTTGTTTCGTTTGTTGGAATCATTGGTTCTTGGTGTACTTTTTATTTCTCGCTTGGACAAGAGTTTGTTAATACGCGGTTATGAGAGTTGGGATAGCGGTACTAGATATTAAACTTTTAGCTTGTACAGGAAATCAATCTCAAAATTTAGCCTATAATATATGACCAGTATTTTTTATCATTCCATAGGCTATAATGCTTACTTGGGCTTTCTTCATGTAGAATATCACTACAATCATCCTGGAGCGGCTGTTTTTTGCCAACTATTAATTGACAGTATAAAAGATGATTCAAGTGGTATATGCATAGCAAAAAGGACTTATCTGTTTTATTCGTATAGAAATTACTGCAGGTTAAATAATGTAACATTGTAAATTATTAATCACATTTTTTTTAATCATTGAAGTAAATAGCCGTAATTCCATTAATACTTATGTCGAAGAAGGTAAACACAAATTTTATGCATACGTAAATTTATAAATTGTAAGCTAAGAAAAGTTAAAAGATTAGTTAAAAGTATTTATCTGTTCAATGTTAAAAATTTTCTTAGGCCATCAAGCAAGTAGTCAACGTGCCAACCGTACAATTTCAAGGCTTGCTAGAAATCGTTGGCTAGTAGCCGTAACACTTTTGAATAACAAAAGCCTTATTGATCATCGGCGAACAAAATTTATTGATACTTTTACTCTTTCTAAACGTAATAATAATGATTCTGATGACGATCTGCTATTATTTCAAGAGTAAAACTTGCAAATAGGTTACTAATTCCTTTCGTGTAACTTTGATAATAATACAATTCTACGTTCATATTCATGTTATAGTGCCACTAATACTAAATTATTCATTTAAGATTATCTGAATGATAAAGATAAACTTTGGGCGCAAGGATTCAGTTAGATATTGATAAAAAATTTTTCTCGATTAATGCCCTTTACATACTTCAATTTTACAAGTCCTCAAAAATTCAATCGCTCTAATGATGCTCCATTTGATTATTCAGCAATGCAGTTGCGATCATACTGGAAAAATACATTTTTTAGTGATGCTTGCTGTATTCAAGCATTCTTACATATTCGTATATTTATAAATTATATTAATACTGTTATATACTATATACACTACCCTGGAATTGATATAGCGGCAAAGATACAAAGTGTATTTTTATATAAAATGTGCATTTTAGTTATTTTATGATTCTATGCATAATAGAGTACAGTAGTTATTAAAAAGCTTTTTACGATGAAGTACACAGTAGTAATGATATAGAAAAAGGTACTGTAATACGTATATAACTAATTTTTTGAAAATCAATCTGGAACCAAATAAACAGTGTTCAATAATGTACCTGTGGCGATACCTGATTTTTCTATCGTGTACTTTGCATCATAAGTTGAATGCGTAGAAACTACCCTGTTCAACTGGACGAGAAACCATCATCATTATTTTACTAGAATTATTACAGGTGTAATACTGTACAAGAATTGATCGTTACGACAAGATGCCCAAGTATTGCTTATGGTTTTACGAACATGAGAGGGTTACTGTGGTAAATGCCAAGATGTCATAGATCAGTAGCAAGATTTTGCAATCAATAAATTGAATTTATTAGTAAGATTTATTCGTATACAAATATTAATATTTTAAAATAGTGTATTGTATCTTAAACTAGACAAAACCATTACGCAATCAAAGTTTAAACGTATCGATCCCTCCGGTAGGATCTCTCTTCATTCTAAATGGTGTATGAGTGAAATGATCACTGAGGATTGGCCAGGGACTGAATGTCAGTCTAAAAAATAGGATACGGTTGGACGATATGATAGCCTTAATGAAAATTTGAATTAAAAGGAGCTTTTTAAGACCACACAGTTCACTCCAATAATATCATCATTAATGGTTACTGGCATCATTAAATGGCGCGGTTTTATTCGTACTGTATAGTAGTATTAAAGCTGAAATTCTCAGTGTATAAGCCGTCAATGTTATCTCACACTGCACTCTATGAATTTTATTTCGGCTTGTATAGACATTCAATACACGGCCTAGATCGTGAAATGAGACCCTTTTGTCTAAAAGGCCTTTCCTCCCAAGTTGTTGTACTAAAATACGTTTATGAAAGTATGGAAACACCCCAGTCGTGAGTCTGATCATAACTCAGATGGATACGTTCGAGTACTTTATTGTCATTTATGTTACTGTACAGTATATATGACATATATAAGGTACAAACACGGAAAAAAAGAACGGACGAGCACGATACTAATACAGTGGCTACAGAATGATGTTAATGAGAGTAATTTTTAAAATTTTCACGACATTGTTCCAAAGTTCCAGGTGTTGTAAGTGACATGGCAGGAGTATAATTAAAAGAGGTAAGCTTTAAAACTTTGATAAGTGGCCAGCACACGCAAAATACAATTTACATTAATACTGCATAAACATTCAGCACAGTACATAAGCACTCCCTTTATGTAGAGAAGTTGGTGCTGACAGCTGGTCTTTTTATACAATATTGCAGTAGTACAGTATTTAATAGTGGTGAATTTATTATTTTTCTTTCTTCTTAACTGTTGTACCGCATATGTACTGGATGTATCCATTATTAGAGATCCTAGAATGTCTCTAGGCTGTCTAATACTAGTCATAGTCGTCAGTATTATCTCGAATAAATATAATGGTCAATCGTACCACTACCAGTCCAGTATTCATTCATTGTCCACTATTCAAGTTGAATGATAGAGAGGAGTTTTGTTTGTTTGACTTGTATTTAATTAAATTCTAACCTTTGATTGGTTTTTCGCTATTCTTTTGATAAAAAGTTGTTAGGTGTTACCGATTGCGGAAATTGTTAATTATTTGATTCTATAAGGCCTTTATTTTATTTTCGATCATGTTATAAATTAAGTCTGTTTACGCCAATGCAATCGTCGGAATGTAATCGCCCGTGGACATTACCATTGAGCAGCAGGTACTGGCATAATTGTTACTGAAAAACAATACAAAGCAGAAATTGACTCTTTTATTACTGTAGTGGATAACACGGAAGCTCCCCCAAAAGCCCCATTCTATAGAGTGATATTGTCCTAGTTGAAATTAATTTTCATGATATTATTGACTGTATACTAAATACTGTCTCGTGTTGAAATAGTTCACTATCTTTGGCTACCGCTTGTAACCCATGTAAAGCCATTTGCAATTCTCTCTAGCCAACAGCTCCATTGAGTGAATGGTGTGTTGGTTGACATAACTTAAATAAGTGAAATAGCATCGTTGTCATTATCGCTAGCTGGCTAGCGACACTGTCAAATTCATTACAACTGCAACCCATACCAAAGTAGAGTATACGGCTTCAAGGAGTGTATATCTTGACAAAAGCTAAAAAAAATCTGATGAATTTCAGGTTCAAAATTAGCTTTCGATCACTGGCAGCCATGATATTGATAATGGTCATCACGTGATTCGACTCCATATCAAACACGGATGTGACTCTGACTACTGAGTGACTCTTGCAAAGAATGCAGCGGCAGTGTCTCTGTTCGTACACTGTACTGTACGCCTTTGTATGGACTAACACTACGGTACTGTTATGGACTGTTTGTACACTTTATGGACTCATGCTGTACAGTATAGTCATACAGGCAATTAGGCATGCTCACTACTCACCTTCACACTAGGTCATGGTGACCAGGTGACCTGTATGTCAAACGTTTGCAAACTTGAAACTCACTTCAACAGCGCTGACGTGACCCAATCGCACGATCGCACCGGCCATAGTACAGACTAGAACAGTACTACACGAACTAAAACTGACTGACAGGAGGGAGGGGACAAGAACAACAGCTCCCATCTTGTGCTATTATGATGCGGAATTAACGTCCTCCTATTTCATCCTTTGCTTTTTTTCGACTATATTCAAAGCTTTCCCCGTCGCTAGATTCAACATTGGCCAAAGAATTTTAGACATCCAATTTGAATTTGCCTCGTTTCCCTTTCACCTTGATGGAAGTTCATTCTCGATAGTTTAGAGTGATTGAGTGCCGGACTTACTCGTCTATTGGATATCCTTATGTTATTCACGATGACATCGGATGAGTGCGCTTGAAAATTGACAATTAATTATTGTTAATTAACTGACAGATTATCCAACATCTAATATACTGTACAGTGTAGAGAGAGAGAGAGTGATCGGTAGCCCATCAATTTTTACAAGTAAACTGGTACTTGAGAGCTTTAAAGGACACTAATTGGCCTACTGACAAGGGGACTTTACTACAACGTTATCATCGGAAAAGTGGTAGGTTAAGGGAGAAATACACTAGGCAATCAACACGTAATGTTTAGTCTAGTAGGGTGCGATTTACGATTGCAATTCAAATCCTTACGCTACGGTATTACCGGTGGCATGCAAGTCGTCACGGAGTGTTTTCCTCATTTTTTTATTTTTGGCGGATCCTTTTTAACGAAAGGCACTTTACCAGTGGTTTCAGCCACTACTAATAGTCTGCTATCACCTATCAGCTATAAAATTGTCATGTTTATATACAAATCATGCGTTGATTCTATGCTTAGAATACAACAATTTACTGGATATTATCACAGGACATAAAACAAAAGTTATTAGTGGCTATGTGAAAAGTGTCGTATTGTGCACAATACTACCTAGTAAAGTTGCTACTGTATACGACATAAAGGAAATAACACTTGACATTATTGCTCACAGTGCTAACGCAAGATGGTGAGAGATATTACACTCAGTTGATTTCTCTATTTTCACACCTCATAGCTCTATGAAGCCATAGTCACTGAAGGCTTTAGTTTATCCAAAGTTTTGATGATACAATTATGTTCTCAACACATGTTATTGTAAGTATATTAGTAAATACAATATGGCATCGTAATTCAAGTTATTCCGTATTTATAGCCTGATAGATCCAATCACTATCTATGAAAGACTGTATTGGGTAGAGTGTACTAAATAAGGAAATCTTTTGCTCTTGGAGAGTCTCATCTACTGTAGGCTAGTTCATTAACTTCATAAATCATCTATCAAAGCACGTTGTAGTATATATTAATATCATCGTTATCTGGCCATGTTCTACTGTAAAAAGCCACCCTTTTCGCAATGCCCCATCGTGATGTAATTTATATACAAATGTGGATGGCGCTATTATTGAATTTAGTATAGCTGTAACTAATATTATGTTGATTGTGTCTTCTCGATAGCATCATTTCCTCACGGCTTTACTTTACGACTAATGATTTGGCTTTGGAGATTACAGTTTGTTTGTTTTTTATAGTTTTTTCAGCATGAATAGAAGACGTAGCAGAAATAGCTCTGTAAGTGATTATGATGACTGGAATAATTCACTATCAGTGGATGGATCATCCAAAAATACGTAAGTAAATTTACGATGTTGAAATGTAACTACAGTCATTTAATACTAGTGAGCATCTTGACCAAAAGATAAATTATCATGGTTTTCAATTGTTGATCCATAATGTCCAATTTTTTATCTTCACTCCTGCATTATTAATTTAATCTTATACGTAGCAGATTTATAATATGCGAGTCGTATAATTTAGTAGTGCAGTACATATATAAAAAATGGTAACATTGATAGTAAATAATGACGATTTATAATCATTTGCAACACTAGACAGTCTGGTAGCGGTTTTAAAAGTAGGATGAATACAGCCATTTAGTTTAGATAGCTTATTAACTATGAAACGGCAGTTACTAAAGGCCTGTAAGTCTAGCATGCAGACTCGTCAACACTGTAATATTAGAAGACATCTTATTTGTTTTCTGTGACAGAGTGTAAAATGACTTGACTACTGTGAGGTCAAATGTATAACTTCAGATCGATATGATCATACAGCTGATACTGAAAAGGCTGTACAACCGGAAACTTTAGATTTACTAGCCTCATGTTACTACTATAATGTACATTAGGGCTCGATTCTACTGCTATAGGGGCAAAATTGTTATCAATATTCCTGTCGTTAATATCATACCAACATTTGAACAGCAAAATCATTGATAGTTATTATTGTTTCCACTTTATATATAAATTAATTATTATTATGTACTCATAAACCCTCAATGACGCTATTTCCTAGAATAATTTTGTTATGGTGCGATTTTTAGTTTGATTATAAGCGATTGTATTGCAACATTGCATCTACACAATGATAAAACGATCAGTAATTTACATTTTAAACACGGAAGTAATTTAAGATGAATATTAAATACCGTGAATGCTTTTTCCAACAATATAGAAACACCGTGAATAAAGTAAGCAAAAATCTTCCAATCAAGTCAAATACTGAAAAGGTCTCCATATCTTCATTGTTTTGATAATCCTACTTTACAATTATAATATATTATATGCAGAGTAATATCGATAGTTTAATTAACACGCAGCTAGCGGTATGTTTTATGCTTATATCATGCTAGTGCTACTTTATTAACACAGTGTTATAAAATGAAATGAAATATTCTAGTGTAATCGTTGTACATATAGTTGAACCTTATCCCGGTATTTGTATCGCACAATTTGATTTTTCTTTAATCAAATTGCCATTGTGTCATAATTACCCCTTTCTTTATATCCAAATTAGATAAAAAAATATCGTAGGAAAGCCCAGGAAAGAGTAGAATCTGATTTTCATCGCACATTCAAAATTTCTTGGAATAATGAACGTGTTCTTGATGGTAAGAAGTAACTAAAGTTTCTATCAATAAACCTTCGATAATGAACACATACTAGATGTTTATCCTTCATAATGTTTGCAGCAAATAAAAAGTTTTTATAATTTTACATTGTGGTTTTCAACGCATCATCTTGGGTGCTATAAATTTTGACTATGTGGATGTAAATAAATACGCGTATATGTCATAATGATAGTATATTATTGTCAAGATTGTTGTATTCTTGTCTGATAATCGTTAACTGGATATTTAATACTGTAGTACAAACAATTTGCTAACATTTATCATCCTTGTCATTATTTATATCTTGAAAATTTTAGTCTTTTCATGTGCTCTGAAAAAGGATATCTTACTACAAGGCAAACTTTATTTAACGCAATATAGACTGTGTTTCTATTCTAGCATCTTTGGATATGAAACTACTGTAAGTAGAGCAATCTACTATAGTACTCCACACTTGTTTTACTCGTTTGAACTGGATGCTTGTTCTATAATCGTACAATTTTTTGAATGTGATATTGATAATTGTCATTTCTCAATAATTATTGTAATATCACATTAAAAGTACGAAATGAACAATTAGATAACTAATTATACCGAACGTTTGCCATATACAGGTTACTATCAATTATACAGATATCTGCGAGATTTCTAAACAAAAAACGGCGTTACTTTTTCCAAATGCTCTGCTGATCAGAACACAAAGTGAAAAGGTAGAAAGTTTTGGTTTATTAGAATAAATAAATGGTAGCCGCTAACCTTAATGTCCTTAATTCGTTTATTTTTAGTACCTATTTCAATCTATTATATCTCGCGAGTCTGCGTACAGGATTTTAACGGAAATGATCGCCGCTCGTACATCCTCATTAAACATGGTATGAACAGCTAAAGTATTGTTTTAATAGCATTGCGTGTGAATTACAAGCTAGAAATTTACGCTATTTAGAATTTATTTGCTTGAGATTGCTTCTCATCTCTTGTATGATACCAATTTTAGGAAGATGGTGATCGCTCTAATGATTCTCACAGCAGCGACAAGGATGTTTCATACAATCAAGGTAATAATCGCATATCTTATTTCAGTAGCTAAAGTGAAATCTTAACATACTTGCAACGTATAGAAGTAATAACGAAATATAATCGTTCAAGAATGCCTAATAAGCTAGGGAGCGATACCACAATACATTGATGATACTAAATGTATTACAGATAAGATCCGATAGTGTATCGCTTATTTGTGCAAGTAGTGTTGATTTTAACGAGTAACGACACGTTTTATAGTATCTCGTAAAAATCATAGTCGATATTAATATATAGAAATGTGGTGATGGTTTTCAACTTTAACATTACCATGTAGAAGCTTCAACCCCCAGTGACGAATCCTTACGAGTACCTATAAACGATAGAGTATATGCGGAAGTTCCTGTAAGTGATGGCGATGAAACAGCGTTCTATCATAATCCCCACTTCCATGATTTATCTCGATCTCGAATAACAAGCAGATTAGAGAAAAGCTCACGAGGTAAAAAATAACTTTCAAAATTAGCTTTTTTCTTAAATAAGTGAATTTACGATAAAATATCCAAGCAACTGGCTTGTGATGTACTTAATCAATGTCAATAAATAATGTTCAATAATATTAAAGGAATTGACTTGTATACATTTATTGGTTTATTAGACTCTCAAAAAACTAACAAAGGTAGAAAGTCTTTTCAGATGTCTGGAGTTATCATTGTATTGTAAGTATAACTTAAAATAACACTGGCAAACAGTTTAATCAATTCCAATGGATATTGACAAATTTCTCAATTCGTTTATTTGTAGGACTGTCTTCAGTCTAGTATCAACTGTAATGCTACTAAGGCGAGTGGCAAGTGTAGATAATATATTAAAGATGAAATCGTCGTTTCAATAGCTTAATTATTATTAAGCAATTTCTTTGATAATGATTTATGCCTATCTTAATAGTTGATATCACCGAAATGTTGGAATATAAACAATACTATAATGAATCAGATACTCGCTTCGATATTCAGAAGTAGCGCTACAAAGATAGCGTAACTTTTATTCAAGTTGCATAATACATGAGTTAATACTTTTCGGAATGTACATAGTAAATTTTGAAACAGATATAGAACTTATTTTGAGATAGTAAATTTCTAAAATGAAGAAAATATTCTAATACACTATAATGTAAATTGCCTTTATTAAATGTTCTTAAAATCAAAGTACATAGTTTTAATATTTAAATATTGGATTGCAATTTATCTGGAAATTAATGTACTGGTTATGTATTTTTGGGTTCAAATCACTAGCCTATCTAGAAGGCACTCATGGCTGAAAGGCATGTTATTATTACTAATTTGCCATATTTTAATTGATCATATCAATAATGTACTATTTTTGATGTTATAATTATAAAATTATTGAAGACTTTTCTTTGATGCTAACACTACGGTAAAGCAACTGCCCTATAGTACCATCACGGTATGCTATTGAATATGACTACAATTTTAGAATTTCTGTTTATTCACCCTGATAGGGTAGTACTATGTCTATTTAATTTCAATATTATAAATTGAATAACGGTTACAGATAGATTGGCGGTTATTATACAAATTATGGTAATACTTGTAATCAACTATAAGGTCAATAGAATTTTCAAGAATGTTCCTTATAAGCATTTGATACTAATAGTCTACATATAATTACAGTATGAGGTAATTTATTGATAGTAATCTAAAAATAGAAAGAAGATTCAAATTTTAGCCTTTTGAATATTGAATATTATGCTGATTGAAATTGACAGCGGTGAAAAATTAACGTGTCTGCCATGAGTAATTGTTAAGTTTATCTTTTTTACCTGCTAATAAATTATAGAGAATATTGTTTGATTGATTATAATAATACAGGACTTATCTAGAGCTAATGCTCTGGTCTACGGGGTTTTGAACGCCTATTTAGATACGTAACAGATATAAAACGCGTATGTTTTGATCTCGTCATTCAGCATTTCCACTGTATCGACCACTTGTTATTGTAAGTTAACTGTTCAACTGTACGTAAGCTTGCGATCTACTTAACTTTAATGACTGTAGATTGAAAAGTTGTTAAATTTTCTATTTGGTGAGATACGTGTATCGTGCTTGCTGTATACTGTACTGTACAGTAAACAAATTGCATCATCATCCCTGAGCATAATTGGATATCATAGGCAATTGACACAGTAACTGTTATCGGTGCAAAAGGGCTGAGTGAGTTCAGTTTGGCGTTATAGTAGTAGACTGCAGAATCTACTAGAATAACTTTATATCTATGTATATATATATATGTCATAGATATACAATCTATCCTACCGTATACAGCAACTGTAGTGCAATATTATTACGACTATGACTAAAAATAGATTTAGACTAATTACCCTACAGTACCCACCCGACCGTACCACACCGTATTATGTACTGTACTGTACAGTGTACAGTAGAGTCCGGCATCTTGTAATTATATTTTACTACCTAACTGTACTCTACTCAAATCCAATTTCCCTTGGCACCTGACACCGGTTTGACCACTGACTAGCGTAGTCATATGGACTAGTACTAGTAAAAGGTGAGGGCGACTATTTTGCTAATCATTTCAAGTGAAATGTAGATATGAAGCAATACACTATACTGTCCACAACCGTAGCTGCTTGGTTGATTTTGTACAGTGCAGAATACGGTTTCAGCGGTAACGTAGAATGGCCAGAAAAATAATCAATGAATCTATGGTTTACTGCAACTAGTGAGCAACACGGTACGCCAAATGGATTTTTAAAAGTGCTTTAGTGAATTCTTCAAATCCTTGATCGAAGGAGATGAAGAAGTGATGGCATGACTGACGATCAATATGTACATCGATCCCGAGTTAACTCGGCACAGAGCACTACGACAGTATTTGGTTCTCCCCTCAAATGAAATCTGCTTGTGTAATCTAGACTGGCTGAGACAAAGTCAAAAGTCCTTGACTGGGTGTCGATAGGAGTGCTACAACATACCTTAACAATTCCAATATACGCGTAGTGTCTACCAGGACTTTTGACTTTGTCTCTTGGGGGTACACCGCTATATTACTGTGTTATATCTGCCAACGAGGTTAAACCAGAGAGGTAAAAATCAATCTGGTATTGGTAGACTGCCATCTCGAGGGCCAGCAAAAGGTGATGTCATCCTCACCATCACTTCCTACTGTAGGCAGTATTGTAGGCGCGTAAAGATGACATTGCTTTTGTCTTAGCCTTCTACTTACTGCCATATCGTACGATGAATATTAATCGTATAATACTACGTATCGCACTATGTTTTAGTAGCAAAGGTCAAATTACCAGCAAAAATAATGTCACTAGTACATGCCGATTGCACAACCTATCCATTGCCTACAGTGCAAAGTCATCGCCATGGGCGACATTCTTTTTTTAAAAAAGGACTATACTGTACCCCAAGTCAAGTACAAAATCGCTAACCATGGCTGCTGTATCGGTGATAGTGTGCAAATATCCGTCCACTACACCACAGTCAGAGAATCACAGTAGATAAAAAGAGCATTAAAAAAATTGGATAGATAGAAAGTCCAATTGGCTAATTGGGATGATTGCCACTCATTGCGACTAGTGGAGAAAGATTGGAAATAAACTTAATTTCTTGACTACAAGATTAGAAATTGATAGCTTTTAAGTTGCTACAACTCTTCTGTAAAGTCCTTATCCTTTGATACTGTGTAGGCTTGCATAGTAGTTGGATGTCGCCATCTTTGAAGAGAGACTAATAGTCATGTTAGGATGATTTCCTACTAAAGGTGTTCATTTCTCCTGACAGTGTCGATTCGTTGTCAAAGTTTTCACTTCTCCTCAGCCAACTGATGTGAAATCAACGACATTGACTGTTCAATACAATGGCAAATAATGATAGCTTTTATCACGGTAAGTGTTGGTAGAATTCATGTTAGATTATCAAAACAACTCTGGTGCGAACTAGTTTGAACTGGAATTCTACTGTATGAAAATACTTCTCCTGAGCTGATGTCATGCTTCATAGTGGTCGTGATTATTTTACAGCTGTTATTCATTGGTAATTTCTGCCTCTTGTTTTACATGACTTCTATCGTAACTTTTATAATATTCTATCTAGATCATGGTGCACTGGATGCAATCCCACTAAGGTTTAGTGACAAGTTTAAACCACCACCAAAGGTAAGTTATACATAAGGGACGCAATCCAAATGGAAATTTTACACAATTTATGATCAATCTTGATTGCCTGTATGCGATCAAATTGGACGCTAATCTTGATGGATAGGTTAAGTTGCTGTTTGAAGGCTGTTACAGCTTTTGCACTTATCAATTTTAATGAATAGCAAATGACATAGTTAAACCGTTTTCAACCTTTCAAAGATCAACTGTCAATTGTAGTGTATTGATAACATGTTGATCTACGTATACGTATAGCGATATCGCAAACAAACGGCTTTTGGTAATACTGTAGTTTAATTTTACTAACAGCAATGAATTAGCTCTTACTACGATATGACTCACTTGATTATGATCAATTTTACTGGTAGTTTTAATATTCAACACAAGATAAAACTTGTAACTTGGCTTGTATCGTGATTCATCACAATAATAATTAATTAATACATAAATCGAATCAATAGATTGACTTGACTATATGGTATTAATTAGGTTACGCTACCGTTCGGATGGAAATTAAGTAAACCACCAGCAGATCTACTCGAATCTAAAGTAAGTTCGCTGCAACTATAGCAACATTTTAACGATTACTCTGTGAGAGGATATCATAAATAATTGGTAAAAATATGTCACTTATTTCCATAATACTGATGTTAATCGGATGAAAATCATTCTTATGCCTTACTGTAGTTAGGCTTACCTGTCAACTCATTAAATCATAGATCTTGGCTGTAAAGTAACTTCAAGATTCTGTTATTGATATACAGTACATACTATGAACTCTTTTTACTTCGACAAATAATTCTTAAATAATAACTGTGTGTATAATCTACCCTTTAAAAGCTGCGAGTTACATGTACAATGATATCTTTCTGACAAATTGTCATACTATGCGTATATCGTACTATCAAGGTAGCTATCTGTTGATGTAGTACTTGTACGGAATTAAGCTTGTCCTCTTAATGTCGTCAAGGATAAATAGCCAGTTCTGAATATGTTTAAATGATTGTTGATTGAGAAAAATATTATTAGCAGAGTACAATTTTCATATCAGTCAGCTCGGATGCACAATCTCATTTCCTTATGAAATAATGAGCAGTTATACCTGTATTAATGAAGAAACACCGCATCTACCGTTATATTCCCTAGATACTCGACTCACTCGCATCTTTTAAGTACTATATTTAATATAAAGTCCAGCTCAAGTTTACCTAGAATAATATTAGATATTAACATATTTGTAATACTTCTACTGCATTTAATTTATACGATATTAATTATAGTTGACTACTGTCAAACGATGTGCGTCGCTCGTATGATGAATTTAATTTTTCAGCTTAGCGACGGAAACAAGTATCTACTGTACTATATAATCCTAATTTAAATTTATTTTTTAGCATGATTTTACTTTAGAAAATTCCGTATTAGCCTCATTACGTCAAAAAAGAAATGCAACCGTTTCAGCAGATAATGTAGTTGATATCGATGATTCTTGCAATACTTACGAAAATTCTCAGCTTTCGTCTAATGCCGTCGTCTCTGACAACAATCATGTAATACCTCCGTCCAATCTGCCTCTGGTGCCGCCGATGAGCAATGATATTTTACAACCTGTCGATGTTTCAAAACAAACTACCGTTAATAATACTACTAATGATGAAACACAGAGGAATACTTCCAGTTGGGCTGAATTTGAATTGGACAATTCTAGCCCTTTTGAATTAGTTGAATTGCAATCCATAAATGATATGGATGCGCTCAAGACCGTTTTGTTACCAGATTCTACACATGTACGCGCTAGTCAGTCCTTATCTAAGGATAGCAATATTTCCAAGATATCTCAAGCTTCTATTTCTTCAGAATCTACTAATGGAATTTGGCTTTCACAATCAGGAAACGATAACATTTCGGAAAGAACTACTAGCCAATATGAAGGTATTATAGTACTTTCAGTGTCAGAAAGTAGCAAGTCAACGGACACCCTAACTGCAGCGGGTGTCACCAGTAATGCTGGTAATTTTCAAAATTCGTGCACAAATAGCTTAGTTACTCACCCGCCAACCCCTAACACAACTTCAGATAATCTTTACTATAAGTCAACAAACATGACTAGTACTATGCCTAATATCAGCAGTGGTTCTATTCACTTAGACAACAGTCGTAATCATCAAACGATGCCAGACAACGTACAATTTTCTAAGCAACCATTAGTTTCTAACGTCGGGCAAGAGGATTGGTCTCGTAATGTTCAACTCGGTCACTCAGGAAATGGCTTAAATGACTTAATGGTACGTTCAGGAGCCAACTCTACTCAAAGAAATCATCAAGGTGTCATCAATTTAAATATAGGCAATGATAAGCAAAATTCATCAACCAATCGTCACATATTCCAATCTTTTCCGACATCACGCTTTGACAACCAATCAAATACACAGTTACCCCGCGCTAACAGTTTACATAATGAAGACCTAGTAAGACATTGCACTAATGCCGGTAATTCAGCGGCTGCTGTTAATATTAACCAATTTAATTTACCGAAAAAGTGCGGACCCTCTATAAGTAATGAACTCGGATCAAAACCTACTGATTTTGGAATAAAAACAAGTGATCACAATGTACGATCATTGCAGGTACTTAAATAATCAACTATATTATTGAAATTGCTATATAAATTGAAATAGTTGCATTAATTAATTGCGATGAATTCATATTTTTAACCAGCAAACTCTAAGAGAACGATCTTCCAGTTACCCAAATCCAAATGAAAATGATATACGTTGTATGTCTTTGCTACGTTGAGTCACCATGGTATTCCATTTGCTTATAACACCTCTATGTTTAATTTATAGTACAAGAAAAGAGCTACTCACCTACCGATAGCGGTATAGTTAAAGACATGAGTCCACCAATAAAGGATCTTACTGCGCCACAGCAAGCTTTAATTAGTGTTATGGTGGATATGGGATTTCCAACGAATCGAGCTGCTAAAGCTGCTATAAAATACGGCGACGATAGCAAAAAGGTAATTTACAGTGACTTTCATGCTATTGGGCCATAAAAATGCAATAGTAAGTAGACTTATGAGTATTTTGATTTTTCATCTTTACTTTAGGTTCTTGACCACTTGATACGAGTTGAAAATTTTTGTGAAAAAGGTTATTGTGGGTCTAGTTGTGAAATCGCTATCAATGAATATGGTACTGATGACGAAAAGGTTTGATAAATGATAAATTATTATCAGTCTGGAATAAGCATTACTGCAGTATGCTTTATATAATTTATTCAAATTACGCACTTTAGGTCATTACCTTTTTAAAACTAGAAAAACAACTTCAAGAACTTGGCTTCAATAATGAAAAAATTCGTACCTCGTTGATTAAATGTGATTTAGATAGTGACAAAGCTGTCGATTTATTAACATCATAAATCATTAAAAGGAATAGGATTCACCTCGGTAAAACTAATCATACTTAATTAATTAGCCTACTTATCGTATGATATGATGCTTTGATCACTCTTCTATTAAAAAACCTTTGTATTAGTACAGTTTGCATTTGTAAGCATTTATAAATTAGCTATTTAACAACTAAACATTAGTAGTTAATATGATACTTGAAAATAATTTTATTCAGATTAAGATTACACATATTGCTATTACGTTAAGAACAATTTCATAAGTCTATTCATTATTGTACAGCACTACTTACATAATAATCCTTATCTGTTTTTGTTAATATTATTCTCTTGTACTGTATTTATAAAATATGAATGACCCTGCGTCATAAAAAGTATCCTTTGCAGCTACATTTTAAGACAATATGTACTAATGATTGTTAGGACTAATGTTTATGGTATGTACATTTTTCGTTAGTTATGAAGCGGTTACTAAAGAACTTATGTTTTAAAGTGAGAATCAGTATCTAGATCATAACAAGTCTCGTTAAGGAATACTCAGCCATCGCTTGTTTTGGATCTTTACTATTGTATGAATTTATCGTGCTAGATCTGTGTTGCCACTCTGTTAATGATCACTGGACTTAGCAGTTGTATGATTATATATTGACCATTGCCACATATATTTGTTGGTCATTAAATACATTTCATAGCATATTTATCTTAACAGCGCAGCAACAATATTACCTTTTTTAAATGGTAAGGTTCAGCAGCGTGGTAAGTATTTCAGTGTAAATGCTGCATTAAACCGCCATTCAACAGCTAACATTTTTTAATAGTTTTACTTTACTACCGCTAGAAGTTAGATCCTGGGCTATTATTGCTATGGATCTGTGCGGCAGGCCATAAGCTTATCTATACTTGAGTGATGATTATTTAGCTTAGAATACCATGAAAATGTAATATTTGCCAGGTAATGAGGCTGTAGCACGAGAAAAAGACTTGCTATACTGAGTCATAGGCCTGGTAAATTTTATAAGTTTAATAATAGAGTTTCATTTAGTGACGCATACAGCCCAGTCTAATTAAATCTCATGCAAAGCAGCTTCCTAGAGATATGATGTATCCAGTATAGTACAAATTATAATATGCGGCTTCGTATGAAAGTAGTTGCATTGCAGTATACGGCGCATGCTTTGCTTATGCTTATTTTCAGTGAATACAGGAGATATCGTTTTAACTGTAAAGAATTTACGCGATTGAGATTTCAGAGCAAGATGACCTGGCATTTATTTTTCGCCTTCAAATAATTTATATTTTTATTCCAATACAAATTTAAAGTGGATAAAGGAGTTCCCGAATTGTAACATTTCAAATCAGAATTTGTAATACAAGTATGACATGCGCCAACATGAGGTAACTATAATTCTAAATCCTAGAGTTTATCAGCTTTACTAAATGACGATGCAATGGTACAACGCAGCCTTTAAATCGTATAATGAGCTAAATATCATTAGCTTATTTAGAAGATCGTATAATTTCCATATTTTTAATGATCTATGATAGATTGAAATTTATATAAATGCGATGTAGATATCACTTTACTAAAGTAGAGACTTAAATACTGTAGCAGAAAATTACTCCATAACATCATTACCTACGAGTATCAGGAATGATTCACCGTTAGTAAGACAATGCTAGTAATAGGACATAAATAAAAAAATCCGCTTAATCAACTTTAAAATTACATAAGTTAGTCAAGAATGCAGTAATAGCTAAGTTACCTGCTAAATATCAATAAAATTGGAGTATAATTTCCAGTAGAAGCTATCTTTAAATATCTTATTCTATTGATGTTGCAATCGGCTAACTATAGCAAAATCATGGCATAAAATTAAGTATTACATATTGTTGGATTTACCTGTATGATTATTGTTAGCCACTTCCTTCTCTCTTAATCTGGCCCCCCACATTCATTAAATATACACCACTTTTTAATTTTATACAATTTATTGTTTAACTAGATTGATATCTCTTCAGTACAATCTGATTCCGCGAAATGAATTAAAAGTGTGACTAGCTAAAGTATACTACATTCAGATTTAGAAAATACTATTCATGCATAAACGAAAAATTGCAAATAATTTTTAGATGTATAATGTTTACATGCCGCAACTATTGATTATGATTTTATAACCATTACAGCAACAACTTAAAAATTTGGATGGTCATTTAAATCGCAGATGATGTATTGATCTATAGGAGCTACAATTCATCTACCAAATTCGTAGAATAATATTATAATATATCTTGAAGCTGACGAATTTCAATAAAATTTACCCACGCTCTAGCTCCAATCTTAACGTAAAATTAGCCGTTATAGTATATCTAGTTAGAAGTTAGCACACTGGCATCAACCAAATGCTAAAAATTATTTAATCAGATAATACTAGGTACATGATACAACGTAATAAACCATAGGTGTGAAAAAGCTAGAACATTTTTATTGTAGTCTTTGACATTTATACTTGATTTTCAGCAATGTTGGCTAAATCTTAATTTTAAATAGCTCCACCGCATTAATTTATGATGATGCTAATGGAAGAGATTAAAATGCAATACTCTCTCTAGTGCTGTTATAATTTTGTTGATGGCTGTTGTATGCATAAAAAAATGCGGCAAAGCTAATAATTGTATAAAATACGCTCGTTTAAAAATTTAATTATGGACACTTTGATATTACGCTACTATATGGCTTTAGAAATATGACGGTTAAAAATCAAATTAAGCAGCTGAAAACATGAAGAAATTAAAATAATTTGTCTCTATGATTAAAAGTACTATACATATGAACTCGAATCGAATATAATCCATTGATTCTATTTGGATAATATGATGGAATACATTTTTTTCTATTCTTTTCCCCCCCCAAAAAAATTAAAGTGATCATCTTTGTCATAATACATAACAGTTTCTAAGATTGTTAATGTACTGTGCCGTAACCACTGCTCGGCCTATAACAGCAAGCCTGCAATTTGCTGTATCACCAGTGTTTATTTTTATTATTACATGAAATAGAGAAAGACTACATTTGGAAATTATATTCAATTTCTGTAGTTATGAAAGAAAAATGACAGTTCTATAATACTAATTATCTCTATGGCGAAAAATGGCGTATCAAAATTGAATTTAATGTAGTTTATTAGTCCCATTATAGTACTTTTCATGGAACTTATCTATTTCATTTTTTTTATTTCAATATGAGTCTGGAGAAAAGGCAATACTTGGAAAATCCAATTAAAATATTGAAGTAATGAATGAAACAAATTAAAATTAGTTCTACAATGCTGATTATCTGTAAGAAAAAATGCCATATAAAAATCAAATTTAATACAGTCTAGTGGTTTTGTTTGCATCCAATTAGTGAAAAATAGCGCTAGAAAATCTAATTTGAAATTTTGAAGATGTGAAGAAAATAAATAATCTAATAATACTGCTTATCTCCTCCGTAAAAAATCTACTGCATGAAATCGAGTTCAATTGAATTTGTTGGTTCCGCTATGTGCGATACTTTTGTGGATATTTTTTCAATCTACATCTTTGGTACACCGTATAATAGTCTACAAGCCAGTCAATATACTGCAACTAGTCACGTATGCATCCATCTATAGTTATTAATAGTAAATCTATAATTAGCCATACGCATACTATTCATTTTTATAATAACCTGAAACAAAAATCAGCCCGCACAATGCGCAACGCGCTGTTTGTGTAATTTAGCATACAATTAATATCGCTACCAAAGCAAATAACTACGCCTCCTCACCAAGTGATGAACTCAAGTTTTTATCCATTAATTTGCTACTATATTATAAAGCAATTTGTCTTTATGAGTCTAGGCGATATGCACAGAAAAGTAAGGCCATGTGTAGATGTATATTTGAAAAATTAATATCAAGGTTCATAAAAGATACAACCACCGTGTATTATGATTATTATCAACCAAGAAATAGGTATCACGACAGCCAAAGGTAGAGAAATTATTTAGAAACTACTATCTCATGTATTCATTCATTCGCCAGTCTATTCATAACGCTGAAATTACTTAAATAATAATTCACATATAATACATAGGTAGACAGGGTTAGCGATGCGCTTGTGATATTATTCTATTTCTAAAGGTTTAAATAGTGAAAGAATTGATTAACCTTACTACGATATGATAATCGTATCAGCAATCTCGATTCTATTCGCGTTTGTAGTCGCTGTTAGAAGCTTAGGATTCGAATTTTAGACTAAGTATATTATAATGATTGATAATATTTCCTAAATAACATCTATCGTAAATCCTGTATCTCATCGTCAATACATTTTTTTTGTGCTTTAAAATAAGATACAGGTTCATTTAACCACCCAGCGCAATATTTTCATCCAATTCAATAAATACATTGTATAAATATATATATATATATATATATAGTAACCAATTTGTAATTTCCTAAAATAGCTACCACCTCAATCATTGCCTGTTATGTTTTGACAAGCTCGCGGTACCTACTGTAACAGCATCTTTACCGCCAAATCTTACGATCGATTTAATACGTGATATTCTTTAAGAGTTTGTTGTTCTATTGTGTCTACAATCAAAAGTTAAATATATCCGTTACACTATATCGATATTAAACTATTTTATTGATCCCAAATGGTGGCAGATGCGGAAATTAATGCGAAAAGTTCCAATTTTTATGCATGCTAAGAACTTTCTAATTTTCTTGTTTCACTATGATAACAATTCAATCTAAAAATGCATTAGATTGTATCATTACAATTAATTATCAGTCTATTTGAGCATGTTCATAGTTATCCCACCGTAATTTAAAATGACAACGCCGATATTAATTCTTGGTCGATTTTATATCAGATATAGAAATAAGCTGGTTTTATTAAGTTTCTTAAGTGTAATAATAAAATTATTCGTCATTTGTTAACCTATTACGAAAGCAATAAAAATCGGACATCCGTCATACTGTACTAATACCAAGCCATTTTAGGTGTCCATAATACAGTTCGTATGTGGTTCTGATCAAGGAAGGTACCGCAAATATGAACTCCTTGAAATTATTCTTACATTCGATGGTATAAAGAACTATTTTGTTACTAATTTTTATGCGTAATAATAAATCATATTATCGCAATATGATAATAGAACAAATTCATATCCATTATATTTTATCAATATATCAGTTCATTTTGATATATGGCCTTGTGCTATCGTAGTCAAAGAAGGCAACACTAACCTTCACCCCTGGCACTATTTTTATATTCCTAAAGATATTACCATAGCTGTTTTGTTGAGATTATCACGCATAATAATAATATTCGATAGAAGTTTCTCACTTAAAACATGATAGACTATTTTAATGACTCCCTAAAGCTTCCTTACGGCTTGTTGATTGTTGATGAACTCGTGATTGATGACATCATAAATTCTTTTAATAACGTGGTGGATTGCTTTAGAATATTTTTAGGATGAATAAAAAATAGACCTCATCGTCAACAGGATGTAACAGCAGATGTTGATTGTATAGCCACTGGCTGACTAATTGAGACTAATGCCATTACTCTATCTAATATTAGCGTAGTTAACTCCCCACGTATAGGCTAGTTAATAGAATAATCGATCTCGAATCAGAATTGATTATTATAAATCACACTTGGCGTAGCCTTGAAATACTTAGACATAAACCAACATTGCTCTTACTAGCCCATTTGTCCAAATAGGCCAAGCTGATTTCTAGGCTTATTTCTGGGCTAATATTATCTTTACGCAAAATCAGCATGTCGGTAAAAATAGTTACGATCAATTCTAGTATTCTCGTATTCTGATTTCAAGACATTAGATTGCCATGTAATGCAATTTCGTCTCTATTTCATAATCTATCAAGGATAGTGACAAGTTCATTTTTCTCTTCATTAAATAACATGGACAGTTGCTTCCTTTGGACATCAGTGAATAATGTACAGTAGTTGATTATGATCCGGATAATCAATTAGTGAATAATAAGCAGCTAAAAGTATTCATAAATGATCGTTGATGAATAGCTAGAGTTGGGCACCCACTGTGATAGAAGAATCAATGATTGAATTAAGCTTAACTTCGCTATCAAAGTACGATATTGACTTTATACTCCATCAACGTCATTAACTAAAATTGTTCTTGCCTTAATTTAATAAACAATTGTCAGTTCGGAATGATTCATAAAGATGGCCAATCCGTTATTAACATTGCAACAATAACGACTTGACTACCAATGTTATTGGCTATAGAAATAGACGACTATGCAAATAAATTTTGATGCTATTGTTGGTAATAAAGAGTTTGGCATAGAAAATGAGAACAATCAGGATGTTCTTACTCTACTATTACTTGGATGTTATATTAGTTTAGGGCAAACTCTGTTAGTTCTCAACTCATTTCACGTCTGTGCCAGTTGCTGTTAACACGCCGCTGACAGAGATCGATTTTTTTCATTTCTTTACGCTTGTCTCAACTTGCAGAAGAAACTTTGTTTTCTCTTATTCTCAATCCAAAGGCCAAGACGGATTCTCGCCAAATTAAGATTTAATTATGGCCAACAATTTCATTTTATTCCTACTTGTAATAATAACTTGTGCCACAAATCAAGTCTTAAGTAATACCGATGAAATTCTTAAAGAAGTAAGGATCACCATGCCTGGTATTACGCCCCAAAAAGTAAGTTCTGAATTGATTGAATGACGGTCAAGTACTACAAAATAGAGAGTAAAATAAAATAGACTTAAATGATCTATGTAATCATAGATGACATCGTGTAATGGATAGGCTACTTCAACGATACGATAGACTTGATTTTATGCTCTATTCCGTTCTAATTTAATGGATAGTAGCTTTATTAACGACGATTAAACGAGTTAACAAAATTGAAAAAAGGCTTGAAAAATATTAAATCACAACGCCAATGAAGCGTACTATCAAATGGAGTCGATATTGTTACATTTATATAGTCTAGATTTTCTTAGAGCTGTCAAGGTATCTTTGAAATAAATCTCTACCTTACTCATTCTTTTAATTTGGGCAGAGTATACAGCTATGCAATCTCTTGATTTTATATTGTTGCAGGTAATTTGAAGCCCGTGAATTTGTCTTTTCTATCCCTCATTATTTAAATCATCATTCGATAGAACTTTAACGTCCGTGTTGTGTATCTGTACGTTAAATTACGCAAATTCAACTTTTCTTCATTCCAATACGAAAAAATTTTCCCTTGTGAGGGGAAGGGGAAACTTAAATCTTTCTATCTGATTTCAAGACGTTTATCCTATAGGCGATGATGATTATTACCTAATAGCAACGATGTCATGATTTTAATTGGTCCCTCAGCTTTTTTCTCTATTGAATCAATTATTATATCTTATTTAGATAGGAAAATTGAATGATTTTACCATGATTTAATAAGTAAGACTATAGCAAAATTATTTTTTAGCCTATAATTACGTTGTTATCCTGCAATCTATCAATACTGGCCTATTCTATCGCTATTGATTAATATCATTTTTTTTAAATATCTACATACAGTAAAAACAAAGCAATTTACTGTAGGATTTGAATTATAACTGATAGCAAATACGTAAAACGTATTTATTCTTATAAGATGACAGTACACGCAAAAACTAGAGTCCAACTATGTATCCTTCGATAGACTAGTTATTTAATTATTGTTTATAAACAGAATATTCCAACGAATGATGTAACAGTAATACTGTATTTTTTGTCATCTAATGTCTTCTGATCATTCCAAGTGTTCAAACGATGGTTTTAACTATTTATGAGATCATTTCCTACGCTTGTATTGTTATGTTTTGCATCAATTGGGTAATGTTAGATAGTAATTCACTAAGGAAATCATGAGAAGATATGGTTTACTTTATTCTAAAAATTTTTAACAGGAATTAACAATATAGCTTGCGTTTTTTCTATCGAAAGAGAGCTTGGCACATAGTGATGCACTGATTGAAGAAAAATCTTTCATTTATTTCACTATTAAAACTTCTTTAATAACTATTTATAATTGTAAGCTTGAATAAGAATTTAAATTACAGCTTTAATCAAGCATCAAATGAAGGAAATCCGTCTTTTTACTTTGCTATTAAGATATTGCTATTAAAAATTGAACAGTAACATTTTTGGAATAGTAAGGGTTGAAAAAGAATTTATTATCGTGTCACGTACTCACACACTGATTGAAAAAAATTTTAATTGCGGCGGGGATATTATTAAGGTACTTGAGTAAAGTATTGACAAATCTTAACACAAAATGATACAGTATTACAAAATAATTATAACCACAGTCATCGATGAGAGAATTAAGAAATGAATGCAAATACATTATGATATGATGCTAGGTGTCGAATTTTTTATGACTATCATTTTCCTTGCTAATTATGCATGAATAATTTCATCAGTTTCTCTCTTGATTAGTAAATGAACTATATTATATCTACAAGATTAAGTTTTAATGAGTTTAGTTTAAAACTATCCAATATAGTAGTTTTTATAACCAGATTCTGCTTTACTGTTACTCTATTTAATCATTCCATATTTACTATAACTCCTAAATTTATAAAATATTTTTATCCTGAGTTATATGCTTGTTTTTTTTAATAATATAATTTTTATTGCTGTAAGGAAAGTAAATTTGTAGCATTCCTGGTCAATGTTTACAATGCTTTTATATACACATGGGTGCAGTAGAAAATAACAGAGAATTATATATTGGCTTGTTTAAACAGTGCAACTGGAAAACAAATGTTTTAATTATTCATTTCGCTCTATACCTGGGAATAATTTTCGACTAATAGTAATCCTTCAGACGCATTAACTTCCTCTAAAATTAAATTTTCATATTCTTTACATCTTATTGGGTACTTTACAACATTAAATATCCTTATAAACTAAATTTCAATCAGCACTTAATATTGTAATGCTAAATTAAATACCAACCATGAATTATAACAGTAATAAGAACGGCGTGCAGTTTTGAACTTTCGCTAAATGTTTTCTATTCTCCAATTTACCGTATTACGTAATCATATAGGATAGTTGTTCATCTTCATCATTTTTGGAGGTTGATTATGAACTACTCAATAATAAGGACTAGTTCCTAATACACTAGATTGCTATAATATCAGTCATGTTTACTTGTCGCTATTAAAAGAGGTACTAAACTCGAGTAGGTGCCTCTGCTTCCTAATACAGTATATTGGTTCAGGTCGATACGTACAAATAAACATGTAATATATCACACTCAAATTAACTTGTTTTAGCTGCTATGGCTAATTTTTTACTAGAGAATTTTATTGATCTTGATGTTTTATTTTCATATAGCAAGATGATTATTTCTGCACAGTAAAAGAAGTTAAAGAAGATTACTTATATATACGTAAGTACGGTAGCTCTTAGAGATTTTAATCCGTATTTCATAAACTCTTATCAATATTATATTCTTCTTCCGTTATTGAAAGTTATTACACAGTAATTGGCGAAAATGTACAATATTAATACATGAACAAAATGTAATCATTTTAAGAAGAGTTAATATTTTAAAATGATCAATAATCCGCTACGGGTTAATAATTTTCCTAGCAAGAATGCATAATGGTATCACAAGATAAGGCTATTTGTGGTTTTAGAAATATTTAATATTGTTGATATATTACTCCTAAATTACTACAGTTAAAAGGAATGTAATATGAAATAGTATATTGTTGTATAAATTATAAATACTCATTATATCGATACTTTAATATCCTAGAAGATTAATTTATATTTAAAACCTAATCATGGAATACTGACATAAATTATTAATAGGGTATCACATAATACTGTATCACCCAAATATTGATGTAGTTCGCTTTTAACTTCATCCTTATCGTCATAAAATTAGCAGAAAATGACTCTGCAATATTGAAAATTTTTAGCTGTTCGGAGCGAACGCAGATGTATCTTTCATTTAAAAAATGGTAACAGAAATATTCTTTGCGTAAAACAAAAATATTAACTGCACCTGAACATGAAGTAATTCTCAATTAGTTCGGATTTTTCATTATTTTTTCTGTAAAAGAAAAATACTAAACACTTATGAAAATGGAATAAAAGTAAAAATATTTATTAAGCTTAATAGTTACTGAAGCGTTATTCAATACTAATCTCGTCAAATTAGTTGTGATAAACCGAAAGAAAGCTGTATAATCACTAAAAATACAGTTCTAAAGCATAGCTTTTAAGCTTACAAATGGCTTACTTTTTGCTGCAGGCCTCAAACTATATAAACAGTATTGAGATTATTGATTCGATTTTACTTTAATAACTTAATGCATTATTAATTAGAATATAGTTCATTACTTTTAGTAAATTTACGTCATAGCCTTAGAATAAGTAATAAACTAAGCTAAGTAGTTAAATTGCATAAATACTTTAAAGATTAAACGGCTCTGTCACTATTGATTGAATCCATTTTGTGTTCGTGATCATCGTTTTTGATACATAAAATATTAACTAGCTGCCGTACTAAATATATTCATGTATGATTAAGCGTAAAATTAAGCGATAAGTGGCAAAAAATAATGATTATTCATAAATGGTAATCAAGACCTGTCCATTCTTTTAAATTATTGATTTCTTTTGTGTTCAAACTCAATTGCTGGATAGAATTAAATGAAGTACTTTCTGATTGTGATAACAATATCGTGCTATATTACTAATAGGTAAATACAAGCCGATAACAGAGCCAAAAACTGCTCACCATATGTTACTCTTTGGATGTTCTGACCCTGTCAAGAAAACAGGTGTATGGTAAGTCGCTAATCTTACCGGTATCAATGCAGATACAAGTTATCTTTAGCTAAAATTAAGACGACAATGTTCGTTAACATCAGGTTGTTAATAATCATTGTTAGCATTATTAGCACAATTAATTCTTAGAAGCTGTAACTCCTCAATATTACAGGTCATTTATAGTTAATGAAGCACTTATATGCATTACTTCATTATTAAAATCGCAAATTGGACTACGCCATCTAGCATATAAAAGTATCATTGTAGAAGCTAATATTAACACCGTAAAAGTACTATCAGGAGAGAAATCAGTATACTTATGATTGATTAAAATAGCTAAGATACGGATCAGCTTTCTTAATTGCTAGCAGTACAAAAGCTCAACATATAAACATAAATGAATAATTAAATGCGTAGCCATAAAACACTAAATCACATCATATGGCGACTGTGGGTAATAAAAAACTGACATGAAAAGTCTACGACATAGTTCCTTTAAAGGCTAATTACAGCTTGAAAATAGCTGATTGAAATTAACCCAAATACAAATGAAATAAATAGAAAATAGTAAATACTCGGTTGTTACACCTATCATTTTTCAAATCCAACGGATTTTCCGTAACATCTGTTCTACATAAATCATGACCTTGAAAAATTCAGGGAAATATCCTATGGTTGAACCCGAGCTAATTGTATTCCATTCTTATTTCACTTTAATTGTTATTATACAGGAAATGTGGAGAAATGGTTCCAGTTTGTAACGATAGGACAAGTATTCTCTACGCTTGGGCTCATAATGCTGGTTATAAATCCTATGAGTTACCTAAAGGTTGATGTCAAATTTCAATTATATTTACGAGTATAGGAGAACATTAAAGATTAACAAATTCTTTCCTTTATATCAAAGTCAAGGCAATTTCTATATCTTTTCTCGTATTTATTTTCATCATTAATTAATATAGACATTGCTTTCACCGTTGGAAAAGCGACAAGAGTTCGCTACATTGTAACTCAAGTTCACTATGCAAAAGTTGATAAATTTAAAGGTTAGTCTAATCTCAGTAATAATATGAAGTAAACCAGCGAATAGAATAAAATCGAATCCAATACAGTAATGCTGAATTTTATCTTATATTAATATTACTTATGTGAATCTAATAGAGAGCAAAATGTTAATAATTTTTGCAATCTTAGCTTGTTAATGACGTAAAAATATTTGATCGTTTGATCTTTGCCATAAACTGCAACAAGTTCTGAATGTGACTCGTAACTTAGAATTAGTCCAAAGCTATACTCCAACTTTATTGTTTTCCTTTTCTAGGTGGCAAAAAAGATTATTCTGGTATTGGTTATTACGCCACCAGCATTCCGTAAGTAATCTATGTCAACTATTCGCACAAATACGTTCCCGTGCGATATCGTTCATTTTCTGGCAAAAGAATAGATTATTAGAAATAACAGTACTAATATCTGGCATGCCACCAGTTATTAATAGTACATAATTCCCGTATTATATTTAAATAGGCAAAGATATCGTGCTGATATTTATCTTACTGGACCAATGAATATTTATATTCCTCCAAATACCAAAAGTAAGTGCTCATCATGTGAGAGTAATATCGTCATAATGTCCTTTATCGATTTCTATTTACTTGACTGCAGTCATGACTCTTTTCATTCGATTAGAGTACATTTTTGTAAGTTAAATAGAAATTGCACATTTATATAAAATAATTTACCAATAGTATCTATAAATATTCATGATCATCAACTGTTGATAGTTTAGATAGATATGTAAGGTCAAGAATTGGAAACAGCCTGACTTTACTAATTCTTTCCTCCAACATTCGCTACTTAGGGACTAACACCGACGTTCTTTGTCGTATGAATGAGGTTACTTATCCATTACATCCAATTTCAGTCCGTGTTCACGCTCATGCTTTAGGTAAATAAAGTTTGTATACTGGGTAAAAATGATTAATGTTAATCCTATAATTTCCATTCCATGAAAGTATAGCGAAATTACTGTGATATTAGCAACTGCTGAGCCATAAATATGATAATGATCCTTTTTCTACTTTTGGTGCTGCAGGTCGCGATATTAGTGCATATCGAATTCGGGACGGAGAGTGGACGAAAATAGTTAAGAGAAGTGCTCAAAAACCTCAAGTTAGTATTAGAACTAAGTTTGGCCGTTGTAATATTTGATTATTACCGTTACTTGTATATATTCGTAAACTATTTAGTAGAATGATTATGTAAAATATCCGTCAATTTAGTAGTAAACTACATCTGCACCTATTATTCCCTTGATTTCAGGTTTTTTATCCAATGGAAAAGACCATTGATATCCAGCGGGGCGATTACATTGCAGCAAGATGCAGTTATGATTCCACTAAACGTAATAAAGTTACCACTAGTGGGTAAGGGGATGGATTAATGATTGATAATACTATTCACGTATGCTGACTATAATTTAAAAGGTTAAAACATAATCCTTATTTTACCTATAGGGGTGGAATGAATGATGAAATGTGTAATGTGTATATCATGTACGCAGTCGATAGTCGAAGCTCTGAAATGACTAATTCTGCTTGCTTCCGCTCATCACCGAAAGAAGTAACCGATTACATGAACCGTTTAGATCGTGAGCTCGAACGTGATTATGACGACGAAAGGTATATTGACGAAATATCAGAAATGGATTAATATGTTACATCTAAGGCCGCTGCTTAAATTTTGTTACCATACGATTTCCGTATGCGTATATCAGATATTTGTGTAAGATTCTAAAGGAATAATTACTATCTATTTATTGAAAGCAAGGCTTAAGGCGTCGCTACTTCATATTTACGGACATGTTTAAAATTGTCTATTAGTTCACTGATAATAGTATTTCATAACTTACTTATCGCGATTACCTATCCTACGTATGGTTGGTGATAGTTTAGCCTAAAATTCAATTTTTTGATATTTTTGCACTTACTACTATAATTAATTATCATTAACTTGCTGTTAATAATTGCTACGATATGAAATGATCACCCACAGTATTCAGTTATCCACGTATTAAGTCTTCCTTTTTAATCTTGTGATTGCAATAAAGCTTACAACATATCTTATTTGGGTGTGATTGGTATTTATGTTCGATATATCTTATTAGGAATGATAAATACCGCTAGTTATATTATAGATATTTTAGATATGATAAAGTGATAATTTACGTCCATAAAATTATCATTTTAAGGTAAGCGACTCATCTTTCTGTATAATTACTATATTAGAGAGTTTATGGATACTGACCAAACCGCAGAATACAAGCGCAGTGCTATCTCTCGGCTCCTTCCCCTTATGGAAGATCAAACTTGGTCTAACGCTGTTAAAAAACTAAAAATTGGCCAAGTTTCTTCAGTTGATGTTGATAGAAATAATTACGTCTATATATTTCATCGAGGGAAGCATACATGGGGTCCTAGGTCAGTCTTACGTCTATTTCATACCATTTATAAGTCAGTTCAAACGTATTGAGTTATGATAACTTGTCGTATAATACTTAAAATTATTGAAGGAGTTCCCTCAATCACAGATTAAAATGCGATATTTACCGAGTTCTAATCAATTTTTTTCATTGCCCCTAATTATTACAGTACGTTCGATGAACAGAATATATATAGAGATGCTCGTGATCCAATTTCAGAGCCAACTATCTTAAAATTACATCCTAAAACCGGAAAAGTAATGGCTACCTTTGGAGCAAAAATGTAAACAATTTATCGGATAAACTTTATAACATAATGTTATATTTATGACGTCGTAGTAGTCCTTTTACCGCTAAATGACTCATTCGAGACACCTTTTATTTAGGTTTTATTTACCTCACGGACTGACCGTTGATCATGACTTTAATATATGGGTAACAGATGTTGCACTTCATCAAGTAAGTAAGAAATGACGGTACTCTTATGCTATCTCAACACGTTGTACCGTAAAAATATCTCTAAAGCTGCAGTAGCTAAGTTTCATGCACTACTGAAATAATCTTTAGAGCTGGTTTTTACTACACATGGCAATTTTATAGCAGAAAAAGAATTTTATTATTTTATAATGTTACAAAATATAGCACAGTAATAACTCTAGTTATTGATAACAGGGTTTAATTAACTAAGATAAGCAGTGAAGTAGGATGGTTTGTATACCCGTTCTAAATATTTAACTATTTCTTACCATCAAAAACTGGTAACATCGGTGATGAGTAGCGTAGAATTTCCCACGAATGTTTATAACATTATCAGAATCGATTGACTATGGCACAATATAGAACACATTTCCGCTGTCAGCTATTCTGAGAGGGCTTGTAAATTAATTCTTTTAATCACGCAACTTTTGCTTATACGCTTCTACTAATAACACAATATACCATCATGAATACGCAAACTTCCCTAGCTACACTTAGGGCTATGATCAAGCTTACGAGTAGCTATTTCATATAGTAAATTCTTGCACGGCCATATTAAAAGTTACAGAATTATTAAAAATCACTAAATATTATATACTTATTTAATTTTTTCTTACAATTACAATTGCTTATTTTATAAGACTGTACATATCATAGCCTTTATAAACCGTTATGTGTAGTAGAACTTGGCAATATTTCAGTTTTTTATCTTATAAACAATTGGCAGCTTGAGACCATATACGATGAGATACTGTCATAGCAGAATGATTAATATACATGGTTGTTGTAACCATTTTAAACTTATAATTTGCGAAGCGTCAAAATTAACCAAGAATAACCACTGTTATTTTCATTAAAGGTAATAAAACTCGATAAGAACGGCAAAGTTTTGATGAAACTGGGTCAAAAATTTTCACCAGGAAAGGATGTGCATCATTTTTGTAAGCCAACTATGGTTGCCGTAGACGAAAAAACCAAAAATTTCTTCGTATCTGACGGGTAAGAACTTAAAGATTTTTTTTTAAATTTACTTATATGTTTTGTATTCTAAAGCTTGGTAACCATTGCTTTGGGAGAGTAAAAAAAGCATTTATTTATATCGACTTCATACTGCTTACACTTACCTTAGCCATTCGTAATCACAATATATGACGCTAATTGAACCCTATTAATATATAAAAATTTCTCTGTCATTTTCACCTTACAACTGATCTATTGCAAGATATCTTAAAAGCCTCTACTATTTTATGCTTTTCTTGACTATTTAATATTCTTCCATCGTTTGAACTGTATCATTGCCTGAGCTTTATTCTATTTAATTCTATTATCAATGACAGTTACTGCAATGGTCGCGTATTACAATTTTCTTCCGGTGGAAATGTTATCAGTCATATTGGTGCTCAAGGCTTTGGAAGTAAGTATTTATTGGCATAGAAGATTGCCACTAATTTTTGATACAGTAGTACATAAATCTCCTATTAAACATATTTCAGCCTAGTTAAATTGGAATCCTGGCTCAAATCTAGTCTAAATAACATTTTACTCTCGACTGGAAAACAGACTGATCACTATCTAATAGTTATTGCTATTGGATTATTAAAATTTTTCTTGTTTTCAAATGTTTAGCGCATCAACCCTTAGGAGTTTTTGCTGTTCCTCATGGCCTAGCGATAGACCCCCAAAAGAGATTACTTTATATAGCTGATCGCGAGAACTACCGTGTTCAAGTAATGAGCGTGGATGAAGGCCGGATCTTAAAGCAATTTCCCTTGGGTAGTGTAGCCATTAAACCTTATGGTATAGACTTTAGCCCTTTACATGGTATGAACTAATACGTGATCAGGAATTATTGAAAATTCAATTAGTATAAATATTCTAGAGAATTTCGACTTAAATTTCAAGTAATTTTCTCGCAGTCAACATGATTAGAATATATTTTAGCGATACAGATAGTCTACATACAACACTATCTAATGATATAATGATTTATTCAAGCACGTGGCATAGATTTTTAATTAGCAGCGGTGGATATAATGACAGTATTAACAATAGTATTGACTAGCTTTCGTAATCAGTTAGTTGGCTGAACAAGAAGGAATTTTATTCAATTGTAGAATAGTTTGACTCGAAACCGAGAATGGCTACAATTAGTTGCCTAGAGAGAATATTTTTAATAAAAATTACAGCATAAATGACTATATTAAAACTACAATATGTTAGGCATTTACTAGAAAGATGCCATTCGATAATCTCAAAGAAATTGTTACTTGTAATTTACTGGTAACAGAGGAAATAAATAGTCTATTTACAGCCGACGTAGTAATGCTTATGATTTTTATTGCTTTATCACAGTCGTTGTAGAATTGATTAAATACACTCGCATATACACATATATATATATATATATACATACGTATAATAAAACTTTTCAGTAAAGCATCTTTGAGTTAATGCTAGTATTTATAAACTCGATAGAGTTTCGGAAACTAAGTGGCGATTCTAGATTTTGTACAATCATAAAATTAATACTGTATTAATTATTTGTCGATGTCGACTAGGTGGTATTCTTTATATAGTCTCTTATGATGAGAGTGGAAAGGATTATCCTAATGGTATTCCTGGAGTAACCCTTGACGCTTCTACAGGAGAACCACTCCAAACTTGGAAACCCAAACATAAGGTAAATTTAGATATATGCAAGGAAATTGTATAGACTAGGGTAACTGATCACAATGGCATTCTATAGCACGATATTGAGTATTTCAGGCCTTTGGTATATCGTGAACTAGTTTATGATATTTGATAGCTACGCGGGATTAATCATTGATTTGAGATTTCCCACCTCAGTCACTACTAGTGATTAATGCTGAGAGCTAGATAATGTTATTGAATACTTAATAAATTTGATAAACTTTCTATTCTATAAAATAAGTAATGGAACTTTAATGATACGCTACCTTCCCATTCTTAAAAATGAATTAATAAATTCTACATTAGACTAACCTGTTCATTTACGGTTTTAACTAGACTCAATCAGATAAACGCCTAAAGTCAATCATTTATTAACCTAATAGTTTATTTTTTATCTTTTTACAGGCACTATATCGACCTCATGATGTTGCCTGTGCAAAATCCAGCAATGATTCTTCCGTTTACGTTGCTGAAATATCGTCGACTAAAGCATGGAAATTCATGTATAATCTATAAATATCCAATCTAGGTATCATGGGAATAATAACATCCAAAATCACAGTTTAAAAGCTATTTTTTGCAGATTATATGATCTAAGATCAAATCTGGATATCTTTTACCCTTATTTATGCTATACACCCAATGAATGAGCATAATGTTTTTATTGGAACTTTTTTTCAAATTATGTACTATAGCTGCAATTAAACTCTTTCTATAACTGTATAATCTTTGTAAAAATTTTATGAAGTAATGCTTTATAATAGATATATTAAAAAGCAGCTGCAACTTTGGTAGCTCTTTTCGATAATGTTGCTCAATAGTGCTAAACCAACTATAACCCATAAATAAACTCATAATTATCATATTTACAAGTAATTTGTTATGAGTAGACTTTCATATCCAATATTTGGATGGGTTATATCGAAAAGCTCTTTGAGTCAATCGATATGGACATTATTTTTACTAAAGAGGTTAAAAATAAAGTCAATATCTTACAATATTAAGTGATTACACTGCTATAGCTAGTTGTAGATATGCTAAGCCTACAAGGAAATCCGTACAGAGAAATACATCTTATAAGTGTATCAATCGCCAGCTACTCTACATAGTTTAAACCGGAATGAAAACTTTTTATTGTGGCTCAAATAAGACAGGTAAGATTATAGTGTTAATACTATGCCTATACTATCGCTATAAATTTAGATAAACGATAGAGAATTTATTGGCTCCTTATTAGTCAATATGATATTTTCAGAGCAATATATGGGCATCTGTAATTTATACATTGTGTCAGTATATCTTCTGACCATAACATAATTAATTTTAGTGTGATAGAAATATAGAAATCGAAATATTTAGCACTCATTATTTAGCTCAGTTTTGCTACCTGTTTTAGAGGTCATGGGAACTTTTGCTTAACGTATTTACACTCATACTCAAGTATTACTCAATCTAGCTGGAATAACGCCTATAAATTATTCTTTATGCTTTTAGTAAAATTTGACTTTTCTGTCATCAATATAAATTAAAATGCCGTTTACTGTAATGCAATAGAGTCTTAACTAGTTTTCTATAATCCAATACTGCAAACAAAGTTTACTAAGATTGAAAATACTAGCTGTTATGTATTGTTTCTTGGTGTGGGTTTACGGAATCACACGAAGTATAATGTACAGAGAATAAGCCAGACACCTAATCATTGAACGCTATCTTACTAATTTTTCTACTGTATATAGTTATGTATAATCTCCTCTACATAACATTAGCCAAAAGTAAAGTACTGCCGATTACATTCATAATTATATGTGTTATTATTCTCAAGTGGGTGATGGCAATGGTCTGTGCATCAATCTGCTATGATGTATGCTTGCCATATATTTTGATATTAACAAAAAGCAAGTTAGATAGCATTTTCTACTTGGTTCCTCAGCGTTATGGATATCTCAGAATAGAGTCTACAACTTGAGCAGAAACTATATTTTTGTAGTAGTAATGAATAAAAATAGGTTCGAACTTATTTAACTTATTATTGAAAAAGATATTGTGCTTACATGAGTACGATAGTGCGGTATGGTAAGAGCAAAGCAATACCGATAGCGTTCTTAGCTATTATCTTGCAGTAAGTGATAACGATGGCTGGTACATTTTAATCTTAACAAAAAGTAAGCTAGCTAGATAGTATTTACTACTTTGATCTTTAGTGCTTTGGTATCTAAAAATAAAGTCTACAGCTTTAGCAGAAAGCATATATTTTTGTAGTAGTAACAAGTAAGAAGTGGATCGAACTTGTTTGACTTTTTATTTAAAAAAGATATTGCGGTGTACATGCGTATGTGCTTTAACCTGTGTAGTAAAGGACTAAAAGTAGAGTCCTTTATAGCTTTTAGTATGTAACTAGTATTATTTTACTATAGAAAATACCTAGAAAGTGATAGTGTCTTTAAGTTTTACCCTGCCAAATCATCATGTCGCCATCTTTTCTTCTTCATTATTTTACAAGGTATTATATAGACTACTATAGAAGTAGCCCTAGAGCAATTGCCTAATCTAAAGAAAGGGCGTTTGATCGTCTATTCAAAATTGTAAAGGAATTTGATTTAGTAACAAAACCCTATCCTTAGAGAAAGGGGACTTATAACATGACGGAAAAGTACTGTAATGTAGTCTATAATCGTACAGTTACCGTACAATCTGACGCTAAAACATCAATTGTCAATACTTGCGAATACTCAGCAATACTAATGTCAGAAAAGTAGTCGTAATAGTCATATAAATTTTTTTGATAAGCGATTACTGTGATCTTTATAAAAACCGAATTTTTAGGATTCGGATTCCGGAACCGGTCGGATTTATGTCCGATGTAATTTTCCTGTTTCTATTTATGTCTGATATAATTTTTCTGTTGTAATTTTTGGATTTTAGTTTATGAAAAATATCGTAAAAGTTGATTTTTGAAATTTGAACTTTTTGTTATGAATTTGAAACTTTGGAATTTTATGACGTGACTTGAAAGTCACATTAGGAAAGTTTAGTTAGAAAATAGAAAATAAGGTGGAAATTGGCAGAAGTTGTGTTGATTGTTAAGTAGTTAGAATGTTATTCTTATGACTAAATCTTGATGTTTAAAGGTTGATTTTTAGACTTTTATAGTGTATTAATGATAGAAATTATATTAGAAGTGAAGTTTGATGTATTTTTATAGTTAGCTAGTTAGTTTTATAGTGTTTTGTAAGGGAATCGTAGGGTAAATTGTGTCTGAACTTTGAATGATTTTTGTTTTCTTAAATGGTGCAAAGTAGTTTTCAAAAAACGGATCTTAAGAGCGATTGGTTAGCAAATGTTTAGTTTTAAATACCTCTGACGGCTCTACGAAGCCTATAAATGATAGTGCAATTAGAAAATTTAGAGAGAGAGTAGAAGTAGATTTTATTTGAAGAACTTGTTGAATTTAAAAGGCCTTCGGGGTCGAATTGTCGGAAGTTAAAACGTTCTTCTTTTTGAAAGGTTGTTTGGTCGTTGACAGTTTTTAAGTCTGTCACTTATTGTATCAACACTTAAAGCTAAGTATTTGTAAGGTTATTCGGTTTATACTTCTCTCCATTTTGTTTTGTAATAAATTGTTGTTCGGTTATTTCCCCAAATTTTATTTGGTGTCAAAGTTTTGCTAAGTCGACCGGAGTGCAACGAAAGTAGAATCAAAGTTTGTTAAAGTTTTGTAGCTTGATCTCTACTTTTTTCATTTCATTACATCCCACCGAGACTAAATCGACGCTATTAACTGGGATCACATCAATTGATTGCAGCCGGGTATTATGCAACTTGTTCAATGGCACTGGGGGGGTATTGTGATATTATTAACTTATTATATACCCAGGTCAATGTTAATATTGTATGTTTTCAAAAAATCAATACCTAAGAGTACGGTATATACGCTGTCCTTCACTACCCAAAACTTATGTGTAATGCTAAATCTGCCAAAAGTTATAGCTGCTTTAATTTGGCCTAGCACTTCTAAACTATCCCCTTTTACACTAGTGAGATTGGGATTAGCTACTCGCTGTATGGGCACGTCTTTTACGATCATTTTAATCAACCAATCATATTGTACTATCGATTGCACTGTGCCTGTATCAATAACGATGTCAGATACCATAGTATCATTAAATGAACCCTTAACCGTCAATGCACTATTTGATTCTTCAATATTATCATTTTCTTCCGTTAGAATTGTGCTTACGAGTTACTGCTGATTTGGTCTACTATGGTTCCTATTGGTTGATAGGTTTGCCAATAATCTTGAGGGAGGTCATCTACTGTTAATTTCTTGGTTATCTCTCACTGCCTCTTGCTCGATCATATTAATAGTGGCTTTGGTATTGTCCTGATTTGGAGAAGGTTTACTTACTGTCCGACTTACTGTTTGTGCAACTGGACGTATGTTTCCTACCCTTGGGATAACCTGTTGTTGACGTAATAGTTTCCAACAGTTTGTCTGTAAATGCCCATATCGTTTGCAGTATGAACAAAACTTTTTCTCTTGGGGGCATTCCATCACGCGATGTCGCCACTGATGGCAATTATAACATTGAAATTGTGGTGGTTGTGATGATTGTGACGCGGAACGTTGATTATTATTATTTATAAACTTTTTATTGTTGCCATATTTGTTTCTATTGTAATTGGACTTTGGATTATTGTGCTTTAGATTTGCTTCAATGCCTGCGGTGGCGATGGGATTCTTCTTGGGAGGTCTACCTTCTCATAATTTTACCCCTGCTATTCTAGAGCTTGCGTCATCAGCCCTGGAAATTAATGATACCGCTTCTCGATAGTTGGTTGGGTTCTGGATTCTGACCATGCGGGCAGTATCCGTCTCCAGACCTTGAAGTAAATAATCTAACTTTTGAGAATTGGTTAACTTGTCTTCTGGGTATGCTTTCTGGTATATGTCCTGAAAACGGGCAATGTACGCTTCTCCCGTTTCCATAGGATCTTAGCGTAGAATAGTCAACGCCATCCTATATTGAGATCTATATATTGCATTATCATATTTTTCAAATAAAGCTTTTAAAGCATCTTTTAACTGACTGCTACGACACGAGTTTCACCAACAGTATACTATCGTCAGACGTGGGGGTGGTAGAACGAGCTGGTGCAAGTATTTCTAGGCGGATAGTTTCTCTAGCAAACCAATCGTCATAATAATCTCCCACCTCATCTAACAGATTTAGTCGTAGGAAAGCCAATTGTTTCTTATCTGTATCTAGGCCTAACGCTAATACTCCACATTCTATCATTTGTGTGAAAGTGCGAACGTTTTCATCATAACGGCCTGAAAACTTAGTGAGTGAACCCACTACTGAAAAATCCATAATAAAGAAATCTGAAGTATCACTCAAAAATACGCACGTAGGCGAAACACGAAGAAGATTTTCAAATAAAACTAAGACCAAACAGAAAAAATTCCCCTTCAAAATCGACGAGAGTCTCGGTGGGATGTAATGAAATGAAAAGTGTAGAGATCGAGCTACAAAACTTTAACAAACTTTGATTCTACTTTCGTTGCACTCCGGTCATTTATTTGGTGTCAAAGTTTTGCTAAGTCGACCGGAGTGCAACGAAAGTAGAATCAAAGTTTGTTAAAGTTTTGTAGCTTGATCTCTACACTTTTCATTTCATTACACCTGTGTATACGTTCATGAATTACATGTTAATTACGAAAGATTACCAAGAAACAGAGCTATTAGCATACTGTAAGTTAAGCGGAGCAATCAAAATAATTAAATGTTAGTATCCTGTCGAGTAGTCGCGTGCGTCGCTATTCATTAATGCTCCTAGTGTGAAACTTTACTTTCTCATTCAACTATTGCAAAATAACAGACTGAAGATTACGAATGAAATGGTGCGTGATTATAAGATTTCAGGATCACTCGTGAATGCAACCAGTGTGTCAATTTAATGTATAATCCACTCGTAATCCACTGTAAGATACAAAATAGTTTTATTTATATAGTGATCGATTGTTAACGTTATTGAATTCAAGTAATGTAGTTTAAAGTAGCAATCTGATTTACGTAGGTGATATTTGCTTTATTCGGATACATTCCGAATCAGTTAGTAGTCTATCTCAGTTACCTGAGATAATAATACTTATGTAACACAAATTCGTTTTCTGTTTCTAATCAAAGCTAATTACTGTATACAACTGTTTCAAAAAAACATACCGAGATTTCACTTGAGCGAGACACTATGCAGACAAAAGTAACCTTATTTTTGTCATCGAGACAATATGCTGTTATCTTATTAACCACTCAAATTGTACGAAGTATGATGGAAACTACGATCAATTATGCATGCTTTGGAATGCATATAATATGATACTGTAGATTATTTAATGGAGCAGACATTAGGCTATACTATTTTCAACAGTTTTAGGGAATGAATAAGATATTACAGCGGCAAATTGACGATGTTTAATCTGCTGATATACTAACATCGATTAAACGTACCGATTGCTAAGTTAATGTATATTTCATCTGGTAGTGGATATGAAACTTTCCAGTCAAACGTTTGATATTGTGTCAATCAAGAAAGAAATTAAAATCAATTAACCGGGAAATATAATATAAAAGGGACAAAAGTGATTTGTTGCATTATTCAGTATATTAGTTACGGATATAAAGTTCTGATGAATGTTAAAAGACGCCTATAATTTGCGTTGTAGACTATTCTTATCAATTTTTAAATATACAAATCTAGGAAAACTATAACAAATAATGGACCAAGTTTTATCCCTTATCCGTAACTTAATAATTATATCTTGTAGACGATATTTCATTTATGAATGATTGGTATAATTATATCAATTAAGGAAGAGAGCTTTAGTCAATTAGACATGATATATAAAATAGGCATTGAATGATATAAGACTTGGTTATATCCAATAGTCGAGACATGATCTAATTCTATCATGAATAGCACAGACGTTATAAGCCACGCTAGCATTATTTCCTTAATTTCAAGACTATAAGGCTATAGTTATAGCGTATTGGATACTGTTTATCTATGGATACATTCAGATCAAGTTCAATTTGGCTCATACCTAACAGATATGCACTACCGCAATGCATTTATTACTCCACACAATACACCCTTAATCAAGAATTCTACAGAATAGAGTTCATTTTGTTACTATGGATAACAATGACTGTATACTAATGTAATTCTATTATACTCTATTTGAATTTGCAATATTAAGGATAAAAAGTTAAGTTTGAGGTTATATCTCAATTAAAATGATCACATTGTCGCATGCGTTGCTTCATGAACATTGATAACGATTGCACGATGAAATTAAAACAAGAGTGCAACTTTAGGATTGGCGTGCTACGATAACGCTACGCCAGGCGAATAGCTATAATTTTATTACAGAATGTAAATTGAGAAAGAATATGAAATAGAGACATGTTTCTACCATCTGTAGATTGAGTCATCATCAATATGGCAAAACAATAGATTAGCAAAAGTATTTCCTGTAATCTTTGTTTAATAGATAATAACGGCCGACAAATGGCGTTAATAATATAGACACTGACTGATATCAATTCCAGTAGGCAAAAAATATTGCATAAACCAGTAACCATTATTATTTTATCGCACTGATAATGTACAGCGTATTATCATAAGCTATGCCTGTTCAAGGTCTGGAGCCGGCTGAGTTTAGACCCGACTAGGAGCAGTTATAATCATAATTACTCGCCATCATCATCAATACTATAATCCAGTAATAATAAAAATATTGGCCGTTGATTTTATTAATGTCAATGACTGAAATCTTCGAACAGTTTGTTCGAACATAAATGAAAATGTAGAAAAATTAATAATAAATCCTACTGTTGATCAGAATATATTTAATGAATGCTTAGACAAAGATAATATATAATAATTGGATAAAATGAAAGCCATCTTTCTTTCATTTTATGCACTCGCTGTCTAGGCGAAACAAGGTTGCTTGTTACATTTTGCTACTGTACTTGCCATTCATTACCCGCTGATGAAAAACTATAAGTAACAACAATGTTAATACTCAACCATTAATCATACATTGTAAATTGCAGCTTTCAGCTTGTTTTGCTAAACAATGTTAATTAATATTGTGAACGCGGAGTTGCTAATGTAATAGATGAACAGATGTCTAAGTTGTTAAGATAGTTAAAAGTACAGCCTCATTTGTTGACTGAATTTTACGTTTTAATAATATAAGATTAACGGTATATCGAATTATTCAAGTAAGTAATTTTTCTATTTGTTATTGTAATTCACTGTTTATGTGATAGAAATGAAGATTCGTTGATTAAATATTATATATGGGTTTGTATATCTCGTTGTCATTGGTTATAATTATTTTAAAATTTTTGCTTTTTCCATAAGACGTTACATTAAAACAACTTTAAATTAAAATAGAACGTAAGTTAAGCTGAAGCGTTTACTGGCGTCTAAATAAATAAATACCATCAGTAACTTGGTTATAGCTTGAGTTAAATTTGAATGAATAAAGAGTTGAGTATTTCATTGTTCAAAACGAATAATCTTGTACTCCCATTAATAAGAAGTAGAGAAAATGTGTCTAGGGACAGGATTGCATTCCTTTCATTGAATCTGCTAAATATAATATACCCTTCAATTAAACACAAATTACTTTATATCATAACGTTGCGATTATAATCGGTAAGTTTCCTGTACGTCGTTAATATTTCTATGACGATTCTGCAACATCATCAACATGTATCAATAACTATTGGTGCTGCAGCAATTTGTAGTCAATTTAGTAGGTTTCCTACTAGTTTCATGCACGTCATTAATACCTTCATCGCGATTCTACATCACCATCTTCGTATATTAATAATTTAATCTACTAGTCTAGTAAAGATAATTGATTATAAACCATACGGAATGAATCGTGAATCGAGTACGACTATGAGCACGGAGCAGGTAGTTGAAAGTTATAAAGCAAAACATAAGTGAAAATAATCACAAGGCAATTTCCCTGTAACAAATAGACAATCAAGCTTGGTTTTCGTTAAATTAAGGAAATGATAGTAGTAACTCTAGGAGCAATTACACTAAGTTAAATATTTTTTAAATTATTCATACGTACATGATAATATGAATAAGTTTATAAAACTGTAATCTTAATGTTTAAGAACAGGAAACACCTATTTGAAACCTAGTTATAAATGTTGTGGATCACCAATACTTGTTGCGGATTCCTGACATCTCCTAACCCTTCCTAGTATCAAATGATGAAGTGATTTACATTGTTTGTTGTTGATCGGCGGTGTCTAAACCGCTTGTTAATCCTTCAGTTACTCATTGATGGGCAAACTATCTTGGATAATAATATAACCAATGGTACGCCGATAGAACAGAGAATAGATTTAGTGGGAATAAATGATAGATAAAGTTTCTGCCCAATAATGGCATATAGTTATAATTGGTGAAATTGCCTAAAGTGCCACTGCATGGCATGTACTACTTCGTATAAGCCCAATGATCTTCTCAGGTGGTAAGGATTTCAACTTTAATTAGTTTATGAGTCACTTCATTGGATTTGATACAAAATTTTGGAAATTACCGTTTCATCAAGTCTTATTATTCGATACAAAACTACATCGTAATCTAGACTCAAGTTCTATATGATCAATTAAACTGCTAGTCGCGCTATTTATTATTTTTAATAGTTCAAGCGCTTATAGATCTTGAATAAACCGTTAGATCACATAGAAATTGAAAATATAACTAATCCCATAAAAAGTTTCGGATGTTAACGCATCGTTAAAAGACAGGTGAAATCTCTACATCATATCTAGTAGTCCATAATTATTTTTTATATTTCTGTAATCGATATCATGAGTGGTAATGCTATCTTAACTCGTATTCACTAAATTTTAATCATCTTCAAAATTAAGCTAAATCGATTTGATGGTAACTACCAGTCCGATAAATCGACGAAATAAAGGTTTTTACAAAACTTCTATTCCATGATATCCAATAATCAATATGATACCGTAGGCTGTGTTTTTCCACTACTCATCAGACTGCTAATCGTGTTATCTATCGCTTTTTAATGATTCAATCATTTACTGCTAGATAATTTGTTCATGTCATGCTCAATGACCATAATCAAACAAAAAGTTTGTCATGCCTTTTTCCTCTTTAGACAATACGCAAGTTGAAGATATAATGCAAACAATCAATCAAATTCAAGATTGAAGACAACATATCGTTAATCAATTGTTGATTTGTCGTTGGCGTGTGCCTATTGTTGTTAATAACAATAACTTGATTAAATCAACAGTATTCAAGTTGATTG